TGATTTTGTTTGACATACATATATACTTTTTTTCAGGTTCTGAATGTTGTCAGTGTAACAAAAGTGTGGTTATGAAAACCAAATGATGCAGATCTCAGCAATCACTAGTTGCGAAACAGAATAATTCGTACATCTTCAGTCATTATGGTTATGATCATATTGTAAATGCAGATAATGTCTTATGAAGTGTATCCCGAGAAATCAAGGAAATTTCATCAAAAGTAGACGAGAATATTTTACAGTAACCAAATGTCAAATTTGGACAACTTGAAAACTTCGATTGTGAAAGGAAATGCTTTGTAGTTTTGGTAGCCATTGGTGAGATGAATACTGCTGAATAAAACACATACCTAAATTTTTGTTTTCCACTTCTAAATGATTTACTGCTTAAATTATTCGTAAGGTATTAGAAAACTTTTTCTTCAGAAATTGTTTAGTTTAGTTAATGTGTCTTATTTACAAATCACAAATTAACTACACATTATCTTCTATAGACTGAATCTTTCTAATTTGTAGATTAACCAGCAAACAAAAGTGTCTGAGAGAAAGAAAACTAAAAACAAACCACTTGATACTTGTTTAGAGAAGAACACTTCACCCATTTTCAATTTATTCTTCACCAAATCCTCCCCCAGGCTTCATGCACACACTGAAACCAACACGCACACACTTAAAGTGCTTGGTCTAAACATCAAATATTAAAACGTAATTATAAACAAATATTAAATCAAAGTAGTAGTAACATGATGACTAATCAACAGTGTGAAATACAAACAACACCACACTTCCTGTTCGAAAGGACAGCAGTCTGTTTAACTACTTTAACGTGAATTTCTATGGTCAGTAGTGTTCATCTTCAAAAAATTAAAGTTGCTCATATAAATCCATGTTTTTCTTGTCATCAATACACTATCACGAAATGGTTGATGCTGATATTTTAAGACTTCATAAAAATAGATTTCACAGTCTGTTATAATTTACTATAAAAGTTTATTATTCAATGTGGTAGTAACAAACTGCAAAATTTATCTTCTTACATATTAAATAAATAAGAGGGGAAATTTATGAGTTTTACCTGGAGGGCTGCAAAAAACTCACTAATTTCATACTGTAGTTTTTATTACTGATCATAACTAACTATAGGCAAATACTATAAATAAACCAACATTAGGTAGGTGTCCATTTCGTTCTATCATGAAACTCTTTAGTAGTATAATAAAATATTTAACCGTAATTACAATATTCGACATGATAAACCCTAATCCATCAACTGTATACTAATCTGGGGCTGGTCCTGTATCGCTTTAAAAGTAAGTAGTGATTAAAATTTGCAAATGAAGGAGAAAAGTTATCATGTAAGTTCAGGTTTGTTGAAGATTTTTGGATGAAGTCAGTCTGTAATCAAATGCAGATAAAGTGTATCTTGTCAAGCCATGAATATGTTCAGCAAATAAGCAGGCAATTCAGTAATAAACGTTATTCTGACGCTCATATCATTAATGAGTGATGCATTGAGATTACCAGGATTGTATTACACAGTCATAAGGTACTTGAATTCTTGGATTAACCAAACAGATAGTTTTTATGGGACTAACTTTATTGCTTCACCTTAGTTTATTTTCGCTGTCTTTATTTGGACGACTATAAGGACCACCTATGCAGTTGCACAAAGCATCGACTATAAGTTCATATTTTGCGAATGTGGCTAGAAAAGAGTTTTTCACCATAATGATGACACTTCATAATTTATGCATTTCCTGATTTTATTTTAAGTCATTCAATTTGTTACCTATCTTTGTTTGATTTCTATGAGATTAATGCTGCAAATATCATCTCGCTAATCACTGAAGCCTTATACCAACACGAGATAAAGATAACCAAGTTGGATGCTAAATATTATACATAAGCGACCTTCATGAAGACAAGCAGACATTTAATTCAGTATACTTTTCAAACATCCAAAATGATAAAATCAAAGTCTAAATATTCATTTCTTAATGCACAAAATCGTATTATTGTTAGAAAAAACTACACATTTCTGCAGTAACCACATGGCTGTCGAACAGGTTGAGTTAATAAAAACCACGAAGGCAGCGACAGCTGAAATGTATCACGTAGAAATCATTAATCATAACTTGACCAAGTGATTCTATTTGAGAAAAATCATTTCTCAAAGCATAAGTGTTTCTTCTTTATCTTGTTGTTATCTCAGTTGGCTCCATACAATGACTACTAAATTTCGAAAAATACTTCATAGTAACTGATTCGTCCGGATTATTTACTATACGAAATCTTTATCTTCTAGAATTGGGACCAAAGATGAACAGAATTTTGGGTGGGAAGAAACATGTAGGTAGTTGGTACTTCCGGATGCACACATCGTGGGGGATTACCTCCTTTTGGTGTACCTAAAAGAGAACAAGAATTAGTTTTGCGTACTCCTATGGTCCAGAATATATCCGTTCCATAGCTCACTTTCAAACTTCTCATTATCCAACAAAAGTATTTGGAATAGTATAATTCGCACAATTATCTATTCTATCTCTAGTATAGATACTTGAGTGATTGCGATATACAATACAGACTGCTGCGTCAAGCTAACAAATGTCGGTCAAGACCATGCGGAATCAGTAATGTAGTGTTAAGTCAGTGATCACTGACTGGTGTAATTCAGCTAACTGAGCTTAGACTATCTATCGACAGACAAGTATCCTATGTCATATCTACTAAAATACTTCCACGATACTTATAATTTAGGGAAAAGAGATTATTTATTTTTGATTACAGCTTGATTCCACACTGTATTTTTGGTACAAGTATGGAATTTTCAGCATGGATATCGGTAGTCCAAATATCAGGTGTGCGTCGACAGGGGATCGAACCTCGGACCATGTGCATGGTCGGCGAGAGTCCTAACCACTGTGCCACCGACGCACAGTTTTTGAGGAAATATGAAATTATCTTTTATATTTCGAAACCAAGTTCACTTCTAACAGTTTGCAAAAGATTTGGGCATTGAGTATATGATATTCATTATAATAAAGGTTTTCTGTATTTCCCAATGAATGAAAGACAAAACGATATTGCTTTTACTGACGTTTCGCTATTCAACGCTGCTAATAACTTTATCAAAGTATTATTAAACCATAATTTACAAAATCTCAACTTATATATATCAACTTAACCGTTGTTCTTCAGCATGGGGTCATTTTTACGTTGTCAGGTTGGCCGATTGGTAAAGATAACAAAACCAGGTGTAGATTGTTGGAACGATGATTTAGTTGTTATACATAAGTTGGGATTTTATAAATTCTGGTTTAATAATACTTTGATAAAGCTATTAGCAGCGTTGAATAGCGAGACGTTAGTGAGAGCAATATCGTTTTGTTTTTCATTCATTGGGAAATACAAAAAACCTTTATCATAATGAATATGAAATTATCATTTATACTTTCTAGGAGAGCTTCAGTTTATATCCAGGTTTGAGTATATTTAGACATTAGATAAAAATGGAGTTACCGTCTCTAAGTTACTCACTAAATATTAAGTCAGTTGATGAACGAAATACAACTTTTGAACTGAACTCAATTTGATTTAGAAATTTTCTCTAATCTGAAACATGGATTCTCTGGCCATTAAAAACTCCACTGAAAAATGCCATATGCATCATTTTCATAGACTTGTCTAGCAGATTTTACAACAAAATAAGCATAAATCTACATACCTCTAAAAAAGTAAATAACATAGTCTAACTAACTGTATCATTAACAGAGTAAAAATCTCTCAGCCTCACAATTATGAACAATAAATATATTTATTTAATTTACAAATGGATCTGTAGACGAAATAAAACGATATTATATATAAAATCAAGGGATAAAAATACAGCAAAATACAAACACAACACCGATGAAAAGTTGTACAAGCAGGTATAAAAAGTCAACTTCTTTCCGAGTTAAATGGTGGAAGTGATTTCAAATCCCGTAGGAGTAAAATTGTGCACAACAAGATAAGAAAGGGGAGAAGAAGAATATGAATTGGTAAGATAAAAACATATAAAATATTATACACTATGCAGAAAAAGGGGATACCAACTGAGGTAAATGAGTTGCTAGTCTAATTTCACTTCACTTCTACACAGTAAGCAATAATCATTATGAGATTAGAATAAGATGAAAAGCAGATGATGAGATTAATAGTTATTATTATTATTATTATCATTGTTACAGTGATAAGTAAGAGTAATGGTAAATGCTTTGTTTAAGGGACAGTATAAATAAAACGAATAACAATAGGCAATCGTTGGAAAACACAATCAGGCAAGAAATCAAGGTGTGCTGTACACAAAAAAAAGATGAAAACTAATAGTTTACAGAACTATAAAGCTAACTAAATAGATAAAATAAAACGCTTGCACAAGACAATCAAAAACACACACACATACACATCATGCATGATAATATTTACACAACAAGGCCAGAAAGTAGAACTGTCCATGTAATAAAAGTGTTCAAGGCACAGATAGGAGAGAAATAAATTGCAAAATTTAAAAGAAAGATCAAGGTGGATATATATATATATATATATATATATATATATATATATATGTATGTGCGGACAGTACAAAGAAGTCGAGTATAAATTAACCATCATTCGAGTTGGTCAATATCGTTATAATGATAAAATAATATTCCTTAAAAGAAATGAAACAAAAGGCCATTACATATATATATATATATATATATATATATATATATATATCATTTTAGTCATTATTATGTATCTGTCATTAAATGATGTTAAAATCGGGATGAGTTACAATTAACTAACGAGATAATTTCCGCTCACAATCTTTGTCTACATGATTTGTCATCATGAGAACAAAATTAGTTCGAAGATAGAAAATGTGAAGGAATAACGTACACATATCAGAATGATATAAGAAAAGGCGCAAAAATGTCCAAAAATCAGTTGTGGGAGGAGACCAAAAAAATAGCCAGTTACGCAGATGATTCTCGTGTTACAAAAGACATTGGGAAAAAACCAATCTAAAAAAAGGAAATGGACAAATGAGCGATTATATAACATCATCAAAATGTCATATATATATATATATATATATATATATATCCCAGTTTCTGTATGAATACACTTTCCTACTCGTTTCCATGTGTGCCCTGCATTGATCACCTAGAATTTTTAGGCATTAGTAGTAGACAACTCAATATCGGTGCATAATTGCGGCAATAACAGACTGACAAGCTATCTAACCAATAGTCCAGGAATCATAAAAGATTCCATTTGTTCTCCTTTTGACACTCAGCGATCATACTATGCATATGCCTGTATGTGTTACATATTACTGCTACGGATATGGAAAACAACTTGTCACCTACTAGTGAATTGAACTAATGAATCACTCTGACACTGACTGAATTTACTTGTGAGTATTGCATACGATGTACATAAAGCGTTAAACAAGAGGTCTTCAAGTGACTCATGCTTGAGCAACATAAAAACAGAAACTTTTCCTACTGGTCTATATCAGTCATTGAAGGTAAAGAACAATAACCTTCATAATGATGATTATTTTATTACAGCTAGTTGTGACTATTTTAGACTGAATAAGTAGAAAACGAACAAATGGACAATTTAAAGATGATGAAGTGTAATCGAAGTGATGAAGTCTCATTACTAAGGTAAATTATATATATATATATATATACATATATATATATAAACATAACGATGTGAAAGTTGACAAGTAACCTTTATGTGAATCAAGCCTAAGATAAACTGCGAATTTCTAACACACATCATTTTACGATAAAACCATTCTGCTTATACTCGTCTTCTATTTTTATTATGAATACCTGAAAACGTATAAATTAAGCTGAATTCGGGTTTTAATCTATTGAATATTAACTTCCTGTTACAAATATTTGGCTGCATATTTCAAACTTTGAAATCTAGCCTAAGTCACATGACACCATAGCGTACGTATTTCACGGTAAGTGTTGGTAGCTTACATTAGAGGAACTCTGAACTGATTAGTAGGATTATCCGTAATCTAGAAAAAATTTGATTTTTCCTCATAAATCTAAGCATATGCTGTCAAGTTTCCATTTAAGAGATTTTATCATGTCAAATCTGATATTTCTTTATTACTCTCTAAGATTGAACGCTAAAGATGAATATAGTGAAGAAATAAAGTCTGTACGAATGATTTTATTTCAACTACCGACATTACACATACGTCAGAAGCATGGACAGTAAAAACATCGACAAAACGTAAGATCTTTTGAACATCATCAGAGGGGATGAACTATTATTTCAATATGCCTTTATACACTGACCATTAAGGAAATTTAGGTACAAAAATATAAGACTTTTTGTGTGTTTGTCAATTTTATGTTAGCTTTGACGCCAACCAGTTATCTGACCTTTGTAACCCAGCGATCACAATCAGCAGTAAGCTAATCTGTTACAGTGAAACTCCTATGTATGAGGCTTAAAAGTGAGAACTTGAAGAGATAACGATCATTTGATTATAGGTAGGTGGAGCAGTCTGTCCTTACAAAGTTAACAAGGCACACTAGAAATACTATTGAAATCCTCTTAACCACATTTAATAATTTACATTTGAACAATTTGCGTCATGCATCATAAAATAAAGACGAATCATTAAATTTACTAGTGTAAATTAGGGTAGAGTTCGGGGGGTGTATAATGTATTATTTTCTATGTCTTTTGTGTAAACTAATTAAAAACATTTGCAAACTTACACGACCATTTAACCATCCTTTCCACCAACCCCTATCTTCTGCAGCTCGACTAACAACTGCAACTCGATCACCACCACTCAAACTCAGGAAACGATTGTTAGATGTATCATGGAAATCGAATTTCGCACGGACATAGAACAACGGTGAAGCTATAAAATTGCAAAAAGAAGACGTAATCTCAATATACCTGAACTAAAACCATGTACGAGTTACTAGCTTACTAAAATACAATATAAGGCAGACATAAGAAGTCCTTATTATTTACATAATCTCTTGTTTCAAAATATGTTGCTTTCATTTTAACTGTATGTAAGAAGAATATTCTTCAACTTAGCCATGTTAATTCCTAACAAAATGATTCGACAAATTCAGATTTAGAAATGTAGTATTTCAATTTGGTAAATTTTAAAGTTAAATTCACGTAATACTTCAAGTGCACTAAATGCTTTCACTGAGAAGAGTAATTTACTGTTGCAACGCAGTGTTAGTGATTTATTGGTTATTGTATGACTTTAATAGAATAAATCCCTAGTCATGAAACCGTAGCTAACTGATCACTTGAAAATATTCCTCACAATGAGTCAAAACATACAGAAGCCATATTTAACTGAGACAGCTGCCACAAATACAACAACTTTATTATTCACAAAATAGAGTCCCCTAAACGTCAATAGAAATTTAAGACAAGCAACAAAGGTTAAAAAAGTGGGATTTAATGAATTCAGCAAATTTCATTTTGTTGCTTGTTTTAAATTTGTATCGGGAAATAAATGTTTTAAATTCTTGAAGGGGCGTCTCTCGGAAAGTACTATCAATGCGCTAAATGGTCTAGTGAAATTGAGGCGTAGGATTGCTAAACACTCTGCACGACGAGATTTTTTGAAGGAATGTATTCAGAATAATATTTATCCTCGAACATTTTACAAATCCTTGCGTAAAGATCATTTGAGACCTACACGGCCAAATCTTCACCGTCTTGCTAAATCACATTTGTGCTCTGAAACAGATGAAATCAGTAATTTATGCGTATTATCAAGCAAACTGATCAGTGTACAAAATGACTTGAACTTCGTATGTTATCTAAAATTCACTAAATATCTGCATGCCACTTCGAAAAAGACGAAAGAATCAGAAGAAAAGAAACTGAAGAAGTCGCTTTTTCCGAAACCACCAAATGGCATTTTCCCAGTGGATATATCTAATTATGTTCACAATTTATCTGATATTTCCCTATCGAAAGAACAAGCAGAAATTCTGTCACTGGGATTCAAATTCTGTGTCCCCATGGAAAAGATAAAGCAAACTGATATCGAATGCAAATTTGAAAATCTTTACGACCAACTCATGGGGCTACATGCCACATCAAGTGACAGTGAAATCTGGTTGAAATCAAAGGTGGTTGACATTGTTCATCAACTTCGAATCATGTCGACCAATCAAAAGTCACATATCACCAAAGAACACTGGAGATCTTTAAACAAGCTCCGAAAAGACAAAAATCTTGTTATCTTACAAACTAATAAAGGACAAAGTGTAGTATTAATGAATAAGATAGATTATATCGGGAAAATGAATCAAATTCTCTTTGATCAATCTAAATTCAAATTGGATAATCATGCATAAGATCAAACGTTATCGACCGAAAGGGGAATTGTGCAGCATCTACGACAACTCTTCAAAAATAAATACATCGATGAAAACACATATAGAAATATCAAACCGATTGGGTCACAAATCCCAAAACTATAAGGACGCGTAAAAATACACAAACTAGGAGCGCCGTTAAGACACATACTCTCAATGATAAATTCACCATACCACAAATTAGCACAGTGGCTATGTGAACTGTTGCAGCCCTTGCTGAAACGTTTCGGAACACATATCGTTTCTGATTCATTTCAATTTGTCAATCAAATTAAATATTTCAATGTATCTGATAAGCACCTGGTCTCTTTCGATGTTACCTCCCCCATCACAAATGTGGCAGTCGTTAAGACTATTGACTTTATATGTAAAGAAGCTGAAGACATACCCATTCCAACATCGGAATTGAGGAAATTACTACTTTTATGTACTAAGAATGTCCAATTCCAATTCAACGTGCGTCTGTTCCGTCAGGTTGATGGTTTTGCAATGGGAAGCCCTTTGGGACCACTTTTCGCAGACTTATTCTTGTCAGGCCTAGAAACCGGTACTTTGCAGCAACATATACAAGAAACGGATATATACCTAAGATATGTTGGTGACATTTTTATTGTCTGTGAAAGCAGATCAAAAGCGGAAGACATGTTGATAAAATTCAATTCATGCCATCCAAATCTCAATTTCACAGTAGAACACGAAGAAAACGATACTATTAAATTTCTAGACGTTCTTCTGACCAAAATGAATGATGGCACAATCGAAAGATCTATATTTAGAAAGTATTCATGGACAGGACAGTACATGCATTTCAAGAGCTTTGTTCCAACCCAGTACAAAAAGAACTTAGTCAGAACACTATTCAATAGAGCACGAAAAATTTGTTCTGACAGTACTATTGAGCATGAAATAAAATCACTGAAGGATATTTTATCTAAGAATGGATATCCTGAGAAGTTCATCAATAAATACTCTCAAGAAATTAGCCCCTGCAAAACTATCCAAACAGTTCCGAAGAAATCTGTTTATATCAGTTTGCCGTTCAAAGGAGATGGTATACAAGAAGTAGTCAAACGAAGACTAGATAAAGCTATAAAGAGAACTTATTATGCTGCAAAACTTGTTTTCCTTAACACCACTAAACGAGTGCTTCTACAATCTAGGAAAGATCAATCGCCAATCCTCGACACTTCAAACTGCGTATATCAATTTGAGTGTTTGTGGCAGCAAATACATAGGTCGTACAGAAAGGCAGTTGTTCACTCGCATGATGGAGCATTTGCCAAAATGGTTGAAAACGACTGAATGCAAAGTCCCAAAAACCTCAATAATAAAACATCTTGTGGACCATGGACATGATATCGACGCTGTCAAGTCATTCACTATTGTCAGCAAACAAAGAAACAGGAAGATGCTTGTGCAATTCGAGTTTATAAACCAGGTCTCTGAGTACAAAAGGAAATGGTCGTCACTCCGAATCTACCATGGTAATATGTTTTATTTATTATTCTACCTCTTATTATTATTATTATTTGTAGACAAAGCAATAAGAAGACGTCATTTGTGTGAATCGTGTAATGTATGTGCACTAGACCAAATAGCAGAGGTAACAGTACATCTGCTATGGTATCAAAACAAAATTTACCAAGGAAGCTTTAATGTGATGACGAATTTTTTTTGAACGCATAGAGGTGGTTTAAACTTTCTAATTGCTAGGGCTTCCACAAACTTAAGGATACGCCCCAAACACGTTTGATCGATAATTTTGAAAGATGCGTTAACGTCAATTTTATGCCCTGTCTCTATAATGTTTCGCAACAGAGGAGCTAGGTCTCTTGTTCTCACTATTAATGGGTTTCTGGAGCCATTTAGGGATGTGCCGTGAAGCCCTTACTTGCAGAGATCGATGAGTCCTCCCTATGTATGTGTGTCCGCACGTATATTCAAATTGGTAAATACAGTGAGATGTGAGATCATTTTTCGCATGTTCAAAAGGCTTTGATAGAAATATTGGCTTCACATTCTCAATTATTATGATATTAGCTGCATATTAAAGACGACATAAAATCGACGTTAACGCATCTTTCAAACCTATCCATCAAACGTGTTTGGGGCGTATCCTAAAGTTTGTGGAAGCCCTAGCAATTAGAAAGTTTAAACCACCTCTATCCGTTCAAAAACAATTCGTCATCACATTAAACCCTCCTTGGTAAACTTTGGTTTGATACCATAGCAGATGTACTATTACCTCTGTTATTTGGTCTAGTGATCTTTATTGATATTTTGACCTTCAATGTGTACTTTTAACTCGACCTAAGTCTATTGAATTGAAGTTTTGATTTTCCCGTCGATTGATTGGACCGAAGTGCTCAGTCTGAGGTTGACATGTCGGCTTCTTGTGCAGATGCTTCGACGATGTCTGGACATTTATTTAGTATACAATTGGTGGATGGTGGCTAGCAGTAGTATCCAGGATGCGCATTTCGTCCTATTTGGGACTCGTCAGCCGGATGTACCTGCATTTCTTAGTGAGTGATGATGTTCCCACCCAGGCTCGAACCCATTGCCCATAGTTTCAAACGCCAAGGCGTTGCCCGCTAGACCACTTGGGCCACGACCTAAGTCTATTTTTTCACCTCTTAACTCTGTTAATTTCATATATATTCCTATGACAAGTCCGTTTGTGATCAGATTGTTCGAAATGTGCAGTGCACATACATTACACGATTCACACAAATGACGTCTTCTTATTGCTGCCTAAATTCATAAAGGAAACTAAGTGTTTTAAATTATTATTTTTGATTCGTTTAAAACTATCTTTATAAGTAGGATTATCTTGACTCACTTCAAAACTATTACTATTATTATAACTATTAGTATTGATATTACTGTGTTTGCAATTCTTGATATATTCTCTAGTGACTAATTGTTTATCTAAGCGATGAAATGGAAGCGTAATTCATTTCATCTTAATTTTATTCTCTCATACTCCCTCTCCCCTTATCTATTTGAACATGACCTGGTAAACATTCGCGCTTGTCTTTCTGCATGACTAATTCAATGTAGTTTATTTGCTTATCAGTACATTATCTCCCTATGTAATTTCAAAAGTAGAGTATTTAGCTGACGAGTTCTACCGCAATTTGATGAATTCATTAAATCCTGCTTTATTAACCTTTTTGCTTGTTTTAAATTCGTATCGGGAAATAGATATTTTCAAGAAATTTAAAACTGAGACAAATAATCAGATTGAATTAAATGATCAATAATCTCATCAATTGCATTAATCATGACTTTATTACTAATATTTCCTTGGTTTCTGAGTGGAACACATTTAAGTTTAATGTCGCACGAACTGGAAGACTTACAAACGAATACCAAAAAACTGACATAAGAAGCAGACTGAGAAGACGGAACTTTAGGTGAATATAGAGAAGACGGAGTCGATGAAGATAACCAACCAATCAGCGTGAGAGATTTGACGGAGGTTACTTCCTTCACTTATCTGGGAAACATCCTTTCATTTACAGACGAAATAATGGGTGATGTCGAAACTAGGATCAGGAAGACAAGGTAGACCTTCATCAATCTGAAACCAGTTTGGAAGTTTTCTGCACTTTACGGCATAAACAACAAGATTCGCATTTTCAACAGAAATGTGAAATAAGTCAGTCAGTTCCACCAAACGGGTGAGAAACTTCCAAAGCGAGTGTGTCAAGGAGAGCATTTCCAACAGGTCATTTCAGACTTTTACCAACAGCTGATTTCGCCGGCTCCACATTGAATATCAAATGGCTGGTCGGCCATAAAATATTAGCAACAAGGAACTCTGACTGGGAACGAACCAACCAAGAGCCAAGTGCTCAGCATATATGTAGGAGTAAATAGAGATGGATTGTTAGGGCATACTTTGAGGAGGCCGTCGAATGATATATATATATATATATATATATATATATATATATAGCAGCGACGCACATATCAGTCTTATCGACTGAACATAACTGGCAAGATATTAGAGTGGTTTCATGTTTGAATTAAAACACAGATACAGCCAATAGAGGCATATCTGAATAGATCAGTGAAGTCCTCGATATCTCCAATCATTTTGCTATTCAGAGTAAATTTAATCCTCAGCTATTAATGAATAAAACTAAGCTATTAATAAATAGTGAGGAAAAAATATATCCACCCTCAAGAAAAAAATAATAAAAATACATTCTTTCCTGAAAAACCGACTGACAAATTACACGTTAAAGGAACTATGTAATTTATATTCGATTTCTTTTTTTACATTCCTTTCGTTGATTTATGAAACAGCCCTAAATAATTATTTAATTAACTCATCGTTATTCGCAAGAGAACGTCATGTTTTGATGTCTTGTTTCAGCTATGAAAATTTGAAACGATGACTATCGGAGCGTAGTTTGAGAGTAATCAATTGATTAATTAACATTCACTTTCACCTTGATGTATATATATATATATATATATATATATATATATATATATATATATATATATATATATATATATATATATATATATATATATATATATGCTGATTCTATATCACATATATATGTGAAGGTGAACAGTAGCTTTTTAAACTATGACACTATAACTTAGTAATCAATTTAAATGAATGCATACAAACACACACATACACATACGTCGACAACACTATAATTTAATTAGACATATATTCCTAGCCGTTACTTTTCGTTCAAAAAATAGACTCCCTGTCCAGTAATTGATCCCCGTAACCGTTTTGTTTGTCGATGGTGTAGTTAACTTGTCTTTCTGTTTTCATTCGATAAATTACAAACAGAAGTTAACGTTTAACACAGTTAGTTAACAGTTAAAATAAACGAATACAAACAATGACACTGATATACACGTGATTACACATAAATAGTCTCGCTGATCTTAGTAGTAATAAAAAAACCGAAATGTTGGAGCGATTGATAAAACTCCTATACCTAGTTGTAGCTTTGATCTAAGTGCAACTTACCAAACACATACAGATATCCGCACTAATAATGAGTCGATTGTTTAGTGGGACAATAATAAAAGGTGAAGCAATGTTTGAACTAACAACTGAATAGCTAAAAATTGAACCTGCAAGATAGTAAACTATAGCCTAACTCATAAAGCTATATATGTGAAACCAACACTCTTCACGCATATAAAGTGAAACTAAATGACACCAGTCCTGAACAGAAAATGTTAATGTTGAAATATTAACTATGGATTTATTTATTGAGAGATACTTCTTATCATAGAAAAAGTAGAACAGTCTGACCTCTGAAGAGATTCAATAATTCATATTCAATCAACCAGACTTCTTTTGTAAATGTTTAAGCTGAATGCTTACATCAAATTTTGTAAGGGAATTTCGTCTACACAATTTAATTTTCTTACAAACGACATAACAGATACACTTTAGACGCCTTTCATTGACAAATAACACAACATACGTGGGTATATATAAATGATTTACTCACGAGGACACTTTTGGTAAGGATAAAGTAATGTGATATCAACTTCATCGAAACATCGATTCAATGACACTTTTGAATAATTCTCAATAACACCCTGAAAGAAAAACAAAATTATATATATATATCGGTCTATTTAAGACATTTTGAATTAAAACAGATCCGTATATCTGATGGTCAGACTAACTGCAAAAGCCGTAGACAACCGGAAAACTTTTCATAACATAACATAACAATTTCGCTTTTATTCCAGAAACAGTACTTGTGATACAGTGTGGAATTTTCAGCACATATCTACAATATTGCATCTAATTTCATCGCACATTTAAAAGGAGTATTACAAAAAAATAAATTAAAAAAAACAACAAAAAACCAAAAAAGAAACACAGAAATAACCAAAAATGCAAATAAAAATACCAAGTAGAAAGGAAGATAAACACCAATAATGAAAAAATATTTCAGTATTGGGTAATGGAAGCTATGATATGTGTATGCGTGGCGAACAGTAACAGCTATAATCATACAAAAAATTATGAGATGTTCTTAAGAATGTTCATAGCCAAGATGATCAGTTAATTTGATTGAACTACACTAAACAATCATAAAATAAACATTTCAGGGTTTTTTATTTTTATAAAGTTATATTTGTAAATGTCTACTTCTCACCAGCGCTCAATTATTTTGCAACTATCCGGTCAAATCTTGATCACAGTTCGTATGAGTTTTTTATTTTTATTGTCAGCACTAATGCAGTGTTTGTTGTGGTAGTGTGAGTAAACCTGCATAATATAAAATTTTTAAGATGGTGATAGTGGCGTTCACAAACAAGATTGTCAGTTAAATAGTGCTGAACAAAGAACAACCACAAAACTAATATTACATGATGGTTAATGACAGGACAATTTTGTAATAATCATAGTGATAATGGGTGGTGATTAGAAACGAGATGGAAAGTCAGAAGTCGCTGGAGTGAAATCGTACGTGAACATCGACATTTTCACTTCACATTTAACTATCACTGATTACATCAAATTTTATATACACATCAGCAAAGATTAACAACATACCGGTATACTTGGAAATTGTTCCAGTTCACACAGACCATAAGTAATAGATGAGTTATCAGGTGATATAAAACGTTGTATACGTATATGTCGTGGATGTCCGAATACTACTGATAATGAATATTCACCCATTCTTTCAGCACTTTTAGACAAACGTACAAGAAATGTACCATCAACACAATTGTTCAATAGATTTACAGCTTCTAATCGATCCATTTCACCTATATACCTAGATAATACCAATAATAAAAGGAATGTAGAAAGAGAAATAGTAAAACTCAAGAAATGTAATAAAAAGACAATTAACAAAAATAATTGTATTATATATTTGCATCAATAACATATGTGTTGCTAATTCACGGAACACAAATACATAAACTAGCCAACACCAATCAACGCAGAATCAGGCATTAGAACATATCAGTTCATGCACTTTTACTGTTATAGAAGAATGCAAAGAAAAAAATGGATGAATAGGATTAAATTTTTGTAAATTCCACTTCTTAAAGCAAAAAACAAGAATAGAATCATGCAAATCATGATAAAAGGATGTATTCCTATCGCGTTAACCCGTGGGATCTGAAAAATGCTCACATGACGAAAGGAAACTGATATGAAATATACACATCAGTTTAAGATTATCCTATAGTACGACGCAAAAAGGCTTTCTAATACTCTTCTATGATTTTAAACTTAAGGTTCATAGATAAAACGCTAAATATAATTAAGGAAATGCATAAATCGCATTAGACTGAGATGAATCCATAGAAGAGTACCGGAATGCCTATTTGGATCATTAATTACGATCCAGTAACTACTTCGCACGGAATACATCTGTGATGAAGTCACTAACCTTAGTATCGAGTAACTCAGCTTTAAATGTAGAGAGGAAATTTTGTTTCTTCAAAGGTGTCTACCTTGCTTATAAGTGTCAACCAGCAATAAAATTAGGCTTAGGATTCACTTATTATTGACTTTATCTAATATCTTTTAATTTTGATAACTAAAGTTATTAGGAAATTTGTCGACCTAGTTGTATAGATGGTAATTAAACAGTAATTTGAGGTTCCGTAATCACGTGAAGGTAAATTAGAATACAAATTGTAATGTAATTAATTACCCAAATAAATGGGGAGCTTTTCAAACACGTACATTAATCGCCGATACACTAACTTGCTATATACAAAGAGATCACCTATACACACGCTGGAAGACGGGCGCTTTGCCGCACCTAGTTAACAAATCAAATTGATTTACGTCAAAGGTAAGGTGATTTGTTGATATGACGAATAAATCAGTACAACTAAATAATCATATAATACATGACTTTATTTTTAGAATAACTAAAATTTGTATCTCATACAAAATTTCGTTCATAAACCAAACACATTTTTTTTCATTTAATCACATAGCCAACATAAATTACATGTGTTACATGATTATGTGCTATTGTCTGTACACATATGTTTGACAGTCATTCAATTATCAGCCTTAATTCATACTTGCTAATTAAAATGTCAACTGTGCCAATACCAAAATCACACAGTTTGTATTTGTCACTAAATTATTGGGAGTATTTTAACAGCAATCTGTTTGAAGCTGCTGTGCAAACACTTAAGAAAAGGCTTTAACAGACATCATCTATAAAGCTGCTTACTTAAGTGGAACCAACATTTTCAAGTATATTGCTTTGTAGATCATTGGATTAATTGCAAATTTGATCAAATCGCTATACAGTAACACCTAAAAATTATTCTAGTGCTCACTTGTGATCAACTACAGGACGAAGTTACCTGAAGTTCTAGTGACAAGTCGTCACTAGTGAGATCCACCAAGTTGAATGTGGGGACAAATACTAACCAATGATATTGACTCATAGTTGTGCTATTTACTACGAATTTTAAGGAAGTTAGAATTCATCGACCAATGGATTGCATCTGAGTAGATGAATGGTCAAGGGTCATGGGTGAGTACTGATGAAGAGTCGCAAACTTGGCCTAAACATGTCTAGTACTCCTTGGCTTTTGGTGGTTCTCTAATTGAAGTCAGCTCGTGATCACACTATAGGCAAAACATAATCGCACAAGAAGGATATGACTTTCAAGTGTTGTTAGCTTTTTCAAACTTTGTTTTATAACTACTGATAGATACGTACATAAGACCTTCATCATATACTTAATGGACTGACTAGAATTCTAATCACTGATAAATGGATCATAATACATTATCAGTAAGTGCACAAATATTTCTAAAGGCTCTGAGTGTGAAATGCTTCACGACTGATACATTACTACTACAGTGTATTATTAATTCATCTTTCTGCTTAGTCGGGATTTTTAATCAAAAGTGTGCGACTTCACCAATACGAGTTTACCAATGGTTTTATAAAAAAAGGGGAGGCCAAACTTTATGATAATTGCTAGAGTAAACTGATTAGTTATACAAGTATAGGACATATGAACAAGGGTGAATAATACTTCTTGATTGGCCTTAAGTATTCATTTTGATGTAGCTCGTTGATTTAACTGAGAGGCAGCTTTCATCGTACTTCTAGGACGACATCTTCGGTGCAGTTTTTGAATTAATTTTAATTGTCCATGAATGATACAATTATATCTCCCGACAACCATTGTCACAATTGGTCATTAATTTTCATCTCTAGTGATCATTTTTATTGGCTTGGAATTTGAACTTTCTTGTTATATGATTTATTTCCATTCACTTAGTGAATTTGGTCTACAGTAGTGTTGACCGCTTCACTTATTTGGGAAGTACCATCAGCCCCAACGGGTTGATCTCTGACGAAATCTCATCACGAATACAGGGGACTCGTTTCGCATTTGCCAGTTTACGCCAACTCTGGCGTAGACGAGATGTTCGACTATCGACCAAAGGGCGGGTGTACTGCTCATCAGTCCACTTCGTCCTCCTTTATGGTTGTGAGACCTGGCCACTGAGAGTGGAAGACATGAAAAGACTAGCTGGCTGTCTTTGATCATAGGTGCCTGCTCTCTATTTCCCGTGTAAAGTGGCATAATAAGGTGAGCAACATTGAGGTTAGGCGTCGAGTTCTAGGTAAACAGGGGAAATCAATCAACGAGGTTGTGAAGTTACAAAGACTGAGATGGTTAGGACATGTGTTACGCATACATGTCTAGTCATCGCCTTCCTCGACCGGTGGGCAGTGATAGCTGATATAGGGTCAGGCTGGAAAAGAGCTAGTGGCGGTCAAACCGAAACATGGCACCAGTCAATGAAATCCACAACAGTTAGTTTAAGCCAGCCGCGTAGGAAGATGTATACTTCCTGTCTGGTTGGGGTCCTCGGGACGGTAAAAGCCAATGGATGGAAACAATTGGTGACATTGCTCAAAATCGCTCTCAATGGCTGGTGCGGATGCATCCACTCTTTGTGACTTATGATTTCCAATGAAACTGTATTGTTTTTCATTATTACTTCTCCTTTGTCTCACACCTCTGCTCACTGTCTCTATTATGCTTTTCTTGTACTTTCTTCTCTTGCTTCGCGTACTACACGGAGTGTGGCGACTTGAACTTCGGCACATTTGTGCAAAGTTCTATGTCGAAAACAGACAGTAGTGTGTCGATTAATCGCTGATTTACCTGAGTATCAGGCTTCTAAAAATTCCCTGACATTTTTGGTGTTTCCTCTATTTAAAATTCCCACATTCTCCCGATCACACTAGTGTCCACAATTATCGACATGCATCAACATAAAAGAATACATTTCGTGCTTTTTCACAGCTAATATATGTTCTTGAATTCGGATTCGAAGACGATGTTCACTTTGACTGATGTAGTGTTTATTGCAGTTCATGCAATTTATTTTGTAAATGGTGTTTATCTTAACTTCTTTTTCTGTTGGATCTGTCGGTCTGCACAATATCAAATAAAATGATTTATTGATAATACTTCTGCGACTGATACATTAGATAAATAGTGTAAGTTTTGCAATTTCCGAAATCCAAAATTTGATTACTGTCGACTGACTAATTGGTATCCTTAACACTTCCATCAGATATTAAGCAAATAACAAGTCGTGTAAGTGGTCCTCCATGTGGGATCACTGAACACATCTTAAACAAGTAACAACCAATGGAGCAAGGATATTATGAATTCATACAGTTGACAGACAGTACGTGAGTTAGAGCTGTTTTCAAAGAACCAGCTCGTAAATATTCAGAAACACTTTACATTTCAGTTTCATAACCACCTACATTAGTTTTTAGAGTAGTAAGTATACTAGGGTGTATGCAATTCATAGAGTGGTGCATAGATGCTTGCACGGATACAGAATAGCAACTGACGAAGTACAAATCATAAGACGACATAAGTAAGGGGCAGTGATAATTATGGTAATTGAAAAGCATCAACTAATATAAGAATTCAACTTCATAAGCCAAACAGACAACTTTAAGATTTAATAAGACCTAGAAGACTAAGGAATGTTTAAGAATTAAGAATAATATGTAAAACGGAGCATAAAACGAATACAGAATCACATGCACCACACAACATAGACAGCATTGTTTAACAGAATAACACACGTATGTTGGGAAGGCATTTGAATAGGCGTGCAATAAATATTCAACAAAGAGACAACTATGTATACAAAAAACATCCACTTTATATACATAACTCACAAAATCAGAAGAATTGCAGTAAATACTGGTATGATACATATATAACCACTAAATTGGGATAAATAGGAAGGCTACACCGTTCCTCCTTCCCCCTTAGAATATAAGAATACTGGTGTACAACAAGCAATATTGATTTCCATACACAGCTAGGCACTATTATTAACGGGCAAATTTATTATTAATGTAGATTGAAGAAGCCATTTCCTGAATTTTAAACGACACAAAAATTGGTGAATGCCTTTCTGTAGGGATAAACAAGTAAAAATTTATAAATATATATATATATATATATATATATAGGTAAATTTTACCAGGGGTAGGTTGACAGAAAAAAATGAGAATGGTCCAATGCAGGATCTGTTGGGAAGTTTTCAAATTTCGATGTTAACGTTGTTGCAGCCGAGGCAGTTTGCGTAGTTGACAGTGCTGATGGAAATAAATCAGCACACTGTGATAACTCCGGGATTTCCAATGCTGATAAACTACGTTTTTTTAAACGTCGAAACATTAACGAAGGATGTGAATTATTTGTACTAATATTCGCATTGACTGGGACAAGAGATAACGAAGAACCAGGAGAATTAAGAATATTATTACACATTGTAGGCGACAAACTGTTATTCGCGACCAAATTTGTCACTACACAGAATGATGGACTGGTAGGCGAAGCTTCATTAAATGAAATGAAAGGTTTCTGAACTGAAGGACTAATGTTAGTAAATACCGGCGTTCGTTCTGAATTAGATACTGAAGATCCCTGATGAGAAAGTCTCGTAGTGATTGGCTAATCAAAATAAACATTAAAATAAACACATTAAATTCTTAGTTTTGCTGTACCCACAATAATAATGGTTATTATAAAAGTGAGCACATACTAACATGCTTGAAAAAAACCCAGCTAAACATGCAGTAATTAGCACTACGATCACAAGAAGAAAAGCAATATAATGACCTCATGCAAATCACATTCGCAGACTGGAGATATAATGAAAGCAAATAGGCAAGATCACACATTGTAGACACTTATAAAAAGTGAAACAGACCAGTCGTAGCCAGCAAGAGGATCATGGCAATCCCCAAGTGACGTGATAATCTGTCTAGTTTGACGTGAGCAATTATTCATCAAATTATTGTTGTTATTACTACAATTGTTGTTGCTATTGTATTGGTGAGGATAGTGTTCCGGTTCAATGTTTGAAGAGGTTTCTTTAGCACTGTTTGATGAAACAGAACAATCTGGAGGAAGACTGTGACGACAAGTCTGTCCTATCAAATTTGACAGTGAGATCCCCGGACTGTCAGTAAACGGCATAGTTTGTGTGCACACCTAAGCCGATTAACGATTATACAAGTCAAAGAAAATATATACATATTAGACGTAGACTTTGACCAAAGATCACACATAACTGATAATAAAAACACGATGATTACTGTTGTATGAAATTACTGAGAAAAATTGACAACAATCTATAACTTTACCTACTTTATGCCCACTAAATCTTAATTTTCTTCACAAATTTCTGTATTAATTCAATCTCAGAAAAGTGAAAACCGTCTAGCTCAATGGGGGAACTTAAAAAAAATAAATACTGTGAATTGTAAACAAGGTATAACGATTTCTCTGCCAAGGATGTGTATAGCATAGCTCAGACTAAAAAGTATGTTTAAGCAAGAGTTGTTTTAAACTAAATCCAGTACATATATTGGAATGTTCAGTTCATATAATATTAGCGTTCTATCAAGCCATGCAGTTTTAACATACTTCAACTTATTTCACAGACAGATTTTAAATTAAATAAATAAGCTACCTGGACAATGAAGAAAATATTCAAGTAGTAAATAACTAGCCAAAAGTGATTTTAAAACAATGACTGAGGTCACCAGACCTGAAACTATTTACCAGCATAACTAGATTACATGAAATGTGATAATGCACTAATGAAGTTTGTATTCGACCCATCCTCAGAATTGATTATGCCTACTTAGCAGTACAAAGGCATTATCGATAAACCGGAAGGTAATCAGAATAATAAGAAGGATACCGATTCAAAATGCCCAAATTCTGAACAAGTATAACAATCTGTATCATCTTATATGTAAATTATATCTAATTTAAAGTTATCCATAAAAATTTAGTTGATTTCACGATGAGTTTTATGTCAATAGACAGTTGTTTAACCAGTCTACAAGGAAAAATTACATGAACACTATTATACTGATATAAAACAGAGTGGATCAACACAGCGAGAGAGAGGAAGAGAGATGTAAAACAAAACTAAATCCTGTTCACGAAGAATTGATCTCATCGTAATATTTCTCTACATATGATAATATTAGATGGTTGGAGGCGATCGGCAGGAAGCCTTGGACCTACGTTTTGTGCCAATTGGCACCCACCAGTCAGCAAGGCGTATCTGCAACCTTGAAGGAACTGATTTCCTTTCTGAAATTCGAATCCGCAGTCAGAGACGTTACCACTGAGCTATTTGGGCTCGCGGTCGACCTCCTGTAGGACTGTATTCAATACTTTGATTGGACACTAGTAATTAGTGTCTGCAGCACTGGGTGACACGGGTTCGAATCTTAGAAGGGAAATGAGTTCCTTCAAGGTTGCAGATACGCCTTGCTGACGAGTGCCAAGGTTTCGTATTGAATTAGTTGTACTCCATGAGCTGGTTGATTTAACTGAGAAGCCGCTTTCATCGTCCTTTTGGACAACGTCTTCAGAGCAGGTTTTAGTATAAAATGAACTTATTTAAATTCTGCATGAATGATGTAATTGTATCGCCTGGCAACCACTGTCATGACTGGTAGTTAATTTACGTCTCTATCGATAATTCTTAGTGACTTGGCTACGTAATATTAACATGTTCATACATATGCACGGTGTATTGGTTACCACTTTACATACTTAGAAGAAATACCAGGTATTACTTAAAAATATTAGTGAACACTCCAACTCTAACATTAGCATTTGTAATACCGACATTCTTCATCTAATCTAACCTTCTTTCGGTATATCTTTATTTTCCTTTGTGTTGATCGTAGAATTTTTGTTTCTGCACAAAAACTTTTGGATAGAATACATTTTGCAAACCTGGCTCTGACTTTGGATACTGATACGCAATAACGAAACGTGAAATTTTAAGCTACGAACGGGATTGAAAAGGTGTTTCATTCAAATACAAGGTCAACACAAAGGCCTATCCGAACAATAAGAATAAAAGCCCATAAAAAGTGATGAAAACCATGACAAATAATTTATCAAATCAAACTATATACAAATAACTTACCCTACTAACTTTATTATTCATAACTTCAACAATATTAGAGGGAAACCAGCCTTCAGAACCATCACAATAACCCTGGTGTAGCAAAATGAGAAGAAAGAGAATGTGTATGAATATAAAGTTAAAAGCAGCTCTGCATAAACCTTATTCACTATTAGTGAGAAACTGCAAGTAGAAGAAATGACCTACAAGAGAGAAAAAGGATGGAGCCAGGGTAAAAACGAAATGATGGACTTCAGTGAAAAAATCCCTTTGTCTACTCACAGGCCGACAGAAAGGACAATTAAGTGCCTTAATTGTAAATTTAATCAACAACAAAGTCACTTTAAAGAAATACCAATTTAATTTGACTCTAAAACACCTCAGTTGGGCAAGCTAATTTCTTCCAAAATCTGATTCGGCATCTTAGCACCTCACAATCTGTTATGTACTCGTCGCTAAATTATTGTTATGGTCTGGTCGAGAAATTAATAGTCCTGACGCGAGAAGGCGGAAATCAGAAGACCACTAGGTTTGCGATGATACTTCTATTGTCCAAACACAAGGAGACGAAAATAAATGGTCTCACACCAAAGTGGTAAGTAAGTAAAGTAGTTGTAAAGTAGTTCACACAATTTGTGAATGCGAATATATATAAATAATTCAGACAAGCGTGGGAAAAATCATTAGACAGTCTTAACATGAATGGCTAATTATAATGGAGTGTCGATCCAATTATACATAGCGAATATAGCAGACATGCCAACAAACATATATGGATATATGTCACCAAGCAACGGACTGTCAACAAACACTCATATTATATATAATATAATATAAGGAGAATACACATTATTAAAGGAGACAAGTTCATACAAGTGAAGTGGTCACAGACTAACCGAGCAAACAGAAAAAGAGACCAACATGCACACACACACATAAATATATATATGTGGATACATATCACCTCCCCTTTTGAGAAGATGGATGATTAGTAGGATGTTTACCTGGGGGTTTATCTGGGACCTTTGGGCTTGTTGTTGACGCCTGTCGTTTCGTCTGACTGTTGGGTTTGCGGCTTCGGCTTCGTCCGGAATTGTCTGGCATTTTATGCTTCTTGACTGCATTGCATAGCGAATTTAGTGGGACATCAGCCAGATGCAAACGATCGAACCAATCAAGTCCCAAAAGATTTAAATCATTCTTCGTGACGTAGCAAATTCCTGTGAATTTGGTATTGCGGAAGGAAACAGAACATTTGAGTTCAGCAATTAGTTTGAGCCGCCCACCACAGGCGCTGAGAAGAGACTGGGAAGTATTGGTGATAGGTGGTCTACCAATATAATTCCAAAGTTTCTCTGATATAACAGTAATATCAGAGGCAGTATCTAGCTGCAGACGAGTATCATGACCATTCATCTGAAGGTCAATATATTTCCGCATAGCTGGTGTTGTGACTTGACAGGTTGCACGTAGACTCAGTGATCTTTTTGGAGATTTAGGACCGACATTTTGTTGAGCTTTTGCTGGATTATGATATCTGAGTTGGCGTGGCTGACAAAACCCATTTTTATGACCGATGATTTTGCACTTGCTGCAACGATGATTTTTGTATGGGCAAGACTTTACAAAGTGCCACGCGCCACAATGCCAGCATGGTGATGGAGGGGTCTTCTTTGCAGTATTATGAGAAGTTGGACGAGTATGTATAGATTTCCGCGGGACATTAGAAGAAGTAGGTGGGTCAGGAGTAGATGATGAGAGATTTTTGCTCTTTCGTAATGCACGAATATCAGAGCTTCTCGAAGGTGTTGATTCGACCAGGTGTGTGTCTTTCTGCAGATTAATCAGCCGTTGATATTCATCAGCTATGTCATGTAATGTTAACTTGGGATTTTGTTCTAGCTGATTGAGCAGTCGAGTTCGGATATCTGTGAAACGAGGAGATTGGAGACTGCATATGAGAATCAAGGCTTTGAACTGATCATCTGTTAAGGACCTGAGTCGAAATCTCTCACATTCTCGGTTGACTGTGCCAACGTGAGTAAGAAAATCATCATTTTCATTCATTGTCAGCTTGAGGCAACGATAACGTATACTGAATAATGAGGAGTGGTCTCCAAAATGCTCACGCAGCAGCTTTATTGTATCATCGAAACACCTGTCACGTGGTTTCTGGGGTAAAATCAGGTTGCAGTACCGTTCATATTCTGCCGGACCCAATTTACGAAACAGCACTCGCACCTTCCAGGCATCGTCTTGTGAGGCGAGATCAACAGTGAATAAGTCCTCATAACGTTGATACCATGTGTCAAAAGTGACATTAGCCTCTGGGTCATAATTGAACTGTGAAATACTGTTCACAATTCCGTCGACAGATGGTAGCATGGTATGATTGGGATTGCTTGAAGGTGAAGCTGGACCAGTCTGTTGGTTGACGAACATTTCCATTAATTTCATTTGTTGTTCAAATAGTAATACCAATTTAGAATGATCCATAATAAATTGTTATGTTGTTGCTGCTGTGTGGTTAATAGTAGTTTTTCCCCGTCGCCAAATTGTTATGTACTAGTTTTCCCCGTCGCCAAATTGTTATGTACTCGTCGCTGAATTATTGTTATGGACTGGTCGAGAAATTAATAGTCCTGACGCGAGAAGGCGGAAATCAGAAGACCACTAGGTTTGCGATGATACTTCTATTGTCCAAACACAAGGAGACGAAAATAAATGGTCTCACACCAAAGTGGTAAGTAAGTAAAGTAGTTGTAAAGTAGTTCACACAAATTGTGAATGCGAATATATATAAATAATTCAGACAAGCGTGGGAAAAATCATTAGACAGTCTTAACATGAATGGCTAATTATAATGGAGTGTCGATCCAATTATACATAGCGAATATAGCAGACATGCCAACAAACATATATGGATATATGTCACCAAGCAACGGACTGTCAACAAACACTCATATTATATATAATATAATATAAGGAGAATACACATTATTAAAGGAGACAAGTTCATACAAGTGAAGTGGTCACAGACTAACCGAGCAAACAGAAAGAGAGACCAACATGCACACACACACATAAATATATATATGTGGATACATATCACCTCCCCTTTTGAGAAGATGGATGATTAGTAGGATGTTTACCTGGGGGTTTATCTGGGACCTTTGGGCTTGTTGTTGACGCCTGTCGTTTCGTCTGACTGTTGGGTTTGCGGCTTCGGCTTCGTCCGGAATTGTCTGGCATTTTATGCTTCTTGACTGCATTGCATAGCGAATTTAGTGGGACATCAGCCAGATGCAAACGATCGAACCAATCAAGTCCCAAAAGATTTAAATCATTCTTCGTGACGTAGCAAATTCCTGTGAATTTGGTATTGCGGAAGGAAACAGAACATTTGAGTTCAGCAATTAGTTTGAGCCGCCCACCACAGGCGCTGAGAAGAGACTGGGAAGTATTGGTGATAGGTGGTCTACCAATATAATTCCAAAGTTTCTCTGATATAACAGTAATATCAGAGGCAGTATCTAGCTGCAGACGAGTATCATGACCATTCATCTGAAGGTCAATATATTTCCGCATAGCTGGTGTTGTGACTTGACAGGTTGCACGTAGACTCAGTGATCTTTTTGGAGATTTAGGACCGACATTTTGTTGAGCTTTTGCTGGATTATGATATCTGAGTTGGCGTGGCTGACAAAACCCATTTTTATGACCGATGATTTTGCACTTGCTGCAACGATGATTTTTGTATGGGCAAGACTTTACAAAGTGCCACGCGCCACAATGCCAGCATGGTGATGGAGGGGTCTTCTTTGCAGTATTATGAGAAGTTGGACGAGTATGTATAGATTTCCGCGGGACATTAGAAGAAGTAGGTGGGTCAGGAGTAGATGATGAGAGATTTTTGCTCTTTCGTAATGCACGAATATCAGAGCTTCTCGAAGGTGTTGATTCGACCAGGTGTGTGTCTTTCTGCAGATTAATCAGCCGTTGATATTCATCAGCTATGTCATGTAATGTTAACTTGGGATTTTGTTCTAGCTGATTGAGCAGTCGAGTTCGGATATCTGTGAAACGAGGAGATTGGAGACTGCATATGAGAATCAAGGCTTTGAACTGATCATCTGTTAAGGACCTGAGTCGAAATCTCTCACATTCTCGGTTGACTGTGCCAACGTGAGTAAGAAAATCATCATTTTCATTCATTGTCAGCTTGAGGCAACGATAACGTATACTGAATAATGAGGAGTGGTCTCCAAAATGCTCACGCAGCAGCTTTATTGTATCATCGAAACACCTGTCACGTGGTTTCTGGGGTAAAATCAGGTTGCAGTACCGTTCATATTCTGCCGGACCCAATTTACGAAACAGCACTCGCACCTTCCAGGCATCGTCTTGTGAGGCGAGATCAACAGTGAATAAGTCCTCATAACGTTGATACCATGTGTCAAAAGTGACATTAGCCTCTGGGTCATAATTGAACTGTGAAATACTGTTCACAATTCCGTCGACAGATGGTAGCATGGTATGATTGGGATTGCTTGAAGGTGAAGCTGGACCAGTCTGTTGGTTGACGAACATTTCCATTAATTTCATTTGTTGTTCAAATAGTAATACCAATTTAGAATGATCCATAATAAATTGTTATGTTGTTGCTGCTGTGTGGTTAATAGTAGTTTTTCCCCGTCGCCAAATTGTTATGTACTAGTTTTCCCCGTCGCCAAATTGTTATGTACTCGTCGCTGAATTATTGTTATGGACTGGTCGAGAAATTAATAGTCCTGACGCGAGAAGGCGGAAATCAGAAGACCACTAGGTTTGCGATGATACTTCTATTGTCCAAACACAAGGAGACGAAAATAAATGGTCTCACACCAAAGTGGTAAGTAAGTAAAGTAGTTGTAAAGTAGTTCACACAAATTGTGAATGCGAATATATATAAATAATTCAGACAAGCGTGGGAAAAATCATTAGACAGTCTTAACATGAATGGCTAATTATAATGGAGTGTCGATCCAATTATACATAGCGAATATAGCAGACATGCCAACAAACATATATGGATATATGTCACCAAGCAACGGACTGTCAACAAACACTCATATTATATATAATATAATATAAGGAGAATACACATTATTAAAGGAGACAAGTTCATACAAGTGAAGTGGTCACAGACTAACCGAGCAAACAGAAAGAGAGACCAACATGCACACACACACATAAATATATATATGTGGATACATATCACCTCCCCTTTTGAGAAGATGGATGATTAGTAGGATGTTTACCTGGGGGTTTATCTGGGACCTTTGGGCTTGTTGTTGACGCCTGTCGTTTCGTCTGACTGTTGGGTTTGCGGCTTCGGCTTCGTCCGGAATTGTCTGGCATTTTATGCTTCTTGACTGCATTGCATAGCGAATTTAGTGGGACATCAGCCAGATGCAAACGATCGAACCAATCAAGTCCCAAAAGATTTAAATCATTCTTCGTGACGTAGCAAATTCCTGTGAATTTGGTATTGCGGAAGGAAACAGAACATTTGAGTTCAGCAATTAGTTTGAGCCGCCCACCACAGGCGCTGAGAAGAGACTGGGAAGTATTGGTGATAGGTGGTCTACCAATATAATTCCAAAGTTTCTCTGATATAACAGTAATATCAGAGGCAGTATCTAGCTGCAGACGAGTATCATGACCATTCATCTGAAGGTCAATATATTTCCGCATAGCTGGTGTTGTGACTTGACAGGTTGCACGTAGACTCAGTGATCTTTTTGGAGATTTAGGACCGACATTTTGTTGAGCTTTTGCTGGATTATGATATCTGAGTTGGCGTGGCTGACAAAACCCATTTTTATGACCGATGATTTTGCACTTGCTGCAACGATGATTTTTGTATGGGCAAGACTTTACAAAGTGCCACGCGCCACAATGCCAGCATGGTGATGGAGGGGTCTTCTTTGCAGTATTATGAGAAGTTGGACGAGTATGTATAGATTTCCGCGGGACATTAGAAGAAGTAGGTGGGTCAGGAGTAGATGATGAGAGATTTTTGCTCTTTCGTAATGCACGAATATCAGAGCTTCTCGAAGGTGTTGATTCGACCAGGTGTGTGTCTTTCTGCAGATTAATCAGCCGTTGATATTCATCAGCTATGTCATGTAATGTTAACTTGGGATTTTGTTCTAGCTGATTGAGCAGTCGAGTTCGGATATCTGTGAAACGAGGAGATTGGAGACTGCATATGAGAATCAAGGCTTTGAACTGATCATCTGTTAAGGACCTGAGTCGAAATCTCTCACATTCTCGGTTGACTGTGCCAACGTGAGTAAGAAAATCATCATTTTCATTCATTGTCAGCTTGAGGCAACGATAACGTATACTGAATAATGAGGAGTGGTCTCCAAAATGCTCACGCAGCAGCTTTATTGTATCATCGAAACACCTGTCACGTGGTTTCTGGGGTAAAATCAGGTTGCAGTACCGTTCATATTCTGCCGGACCCAATTTACGAAACAGCACTCGCACCTTCCAGGCATCGTCTTGTGAGGCGAGATCAACAGTGAATAAGTCCTCATAACGTTGATACCATGTGTCAAAAGTGACATTAGCCTCTGGGTCATAATTGAACTGTGAAATACTGTTCACAATTCCGTCGACAGATGGTAGCATGGTATGATTGGGATTGCTTGAAGGTGAAGCTGGACCAGTCTGTTGGTTGACGAACATTTCCATTAATTTCATTTGTTGTTCAAATAGTAATACCAATTTAGAATGATCCATAATAAATTGTTATGTTGTTGCTGCTGTGTGGTTAATAGTAGTTTTTCCCCGTCGCCAAATTGTTATGTACTAGTTTTCCCCGTCGCCAAATTGTTATGTACTCGTCGCTGAATTATTGTTATGGACTGGTCGAGAAATTAATAGTCCTGACGCGAGAAGGCGGAAATCAGAAGACCACTAAGTTTGCGATGATACTTCTATTGTCCAAACACAAGGAGACGAAAATAAATGGTCTCACACCAAAGTGGTAAGTAAGTAAAGTAGTTGTAAAGTAGTTCACACAATTTGTGAATGCGAATATATATAAATAATTCAGACAAGCGTGGGAAAAATCATTAGACAGTCTTAACATGAATGGCTAATTATAATGGAGTGTCGATCCAATTATACATAGCGAATATAGCAGACATGCCAACAAACATATATGGATATATGTCACCAAGCAACGGACTGTCAACAAACACTCATATTATATATAATATAATATAAGGAGAATACACATTATTAAAGGAGACAAGTTCATACAAGTGAAGTGGTCACAGACTAACCGAGCAAACAGAAAAAGAGACCAACATGCACACACACACATAAATATATATATGTGGATACATATCACAATCTGATTGCTTCCAGACATGACATTATTTACATAATGTACGACTAAATAGCTAGGCTTTTAAAAACCAGAGGACAATATGCTAACGTTGTAGAAAGACAATTCATATTAAGTGAAACAGCAACCAGCTTTCAAAAGCCCGGTATTTATTGTAATAGGAAGACAGTGTACTAGAAAAAGGGATATTGAATAACAGCAAACATACTGATGTACTACATTCTGAAATAAAATCATAGTATGAATATGGGTAGTGGTACTCATTTTATTATCCAAAGTCTATTATGTGAGATGAATTTCATAACCTTAATTCACTAGACGTAGGTTTAATCCGTATCCAAGTTACGGCTACATGTTTGTCGCAGAAATGAATACCGAGAAGGATTGCACTGCAAAAGTTAATAATTTGTAATAGTTCTCAAGTGTTGGTTTGCAGGGATTTGACTGATTTCAAGTTTGACCGCGAATTGACTTCAGTTAGGGAACCACTAAAAAACCAAGGGGTGCTCGACAGTTGTTGCGTCCCAACTCGGGACTCTTTATCAGTACGCACTTATGACCTCACGTGGGGTCGAGCCCAAGACCTTAGCGCTATACATCACAAGTTTATAGAAATTAGAATCCATGGGCCATTGGATTACATCTCAGTAGATGAATGGTCAAGATCACTTTATAACCTGACAGGGAGGAACCCAGGAGGGTTCCATCCCTGCTTAGGTCATGGGTGAGTACTGATGAAGAGTCGCAGACTAGGGCGGAACAACTGTTTAGTACTCCTTGGTTTTCAATGGTTCTCTTACTGAAGCCAGTTCCTGGGCAAAACTGAAAGTTTAGTGGTTATGTAATGAAGATATGAACTCCTGCGTTCACAATGATATGGGAGGAAACTTTGAAATAACTTGTTACCAGATCATTATATACTGCAAAAAATGAAGAGTGGAGAAAATCAAAAAAATCAAAATTAACAGAATATAGAATAATTATTTATTTCAATGCATCTCTAGACAGAATTTGAAATCATACTTTCTTTACCTGTAAACATCTTCAAAATTTCAACCCAACAAACTATGCATCATAATGAATAAAATGTGAATTCAACTCACCTGCCACCAAGATGCACCTTCAGTCCATTTGATTAATTCAATTTGATCTCCAACGGATAATCTCAGAGGAATGCTACCTGAAGGTGGTAAAGGATCTGCATCATAAGGTTTTCGTGCCACAGCGAAAGTTGGATTTACAGGAGGAATATTCGAAGTAGGCAAACCAGAAGATATACGTCTATTACGCTGTAAAGAAACATTTGATAAGTTGGTTTGATCAGAGGCAAGCCAGTGATTCACAGATGTTAAGGTATCTGATAATTGTGAAAAGTCGAATGATTCTGAACTAGGCAGTGAATTATTTCCAGGCGTGCATGGAACACTTCCCATTGTTAAGTGAGAACGTCGACTACGTACCGTATTACATTGAGGAGGAAGTGGAGGTGGAGCATTTGACGGAATTCCATTAATATGTGGATTGGCTATACCACGCAATGGAAGATTATGATTTGCTAAACAGCCTTTATGTGCAGCTCTATTTGTCTCTATATATTTTAAGAAGAAAAAAAAACAATAGAATGAAATAAGTCGTGAATTATAGAATGAAAATTATTACATTACTAATGAATCTTTAAAAAAATCCATAGCATGTTGCGAAATTTCAATAAGGTATGCTTAAATTTCTACCAGTTGATACGAGTACTCCATAGCAAGTGAAAGCTCAAAGGAAATAAATCCAAAGTGACAGTCTAATGCATTCTAAAATACCTCTAAATGAGCATATACATTATATGCAACAACTAAAACCATAATATCAGACTGCTTATCACACTTAGTATAGTACATACGACTTCAGGTTATGTATATTTAAATGATTTTGACAGTATGTCATATGAATAAACAAAACAAGGCCTAAATTTTTATACAAATACAATATAGCGTGTATGACTATTGAAAATCATACCATCTTGATAAAAAGTAAAGTACAACTAGAAAAGAAATCATTCGAATAAAAACAACAGTGAAGAAAAGAAACGAAATAATGTAACAGAGCAATTCAATACCTGTCTACCAGTACATGACGCAATACACGCATACAAAATTACAGAATCTGTCTTTAAAAATATACAAGTTAAACAAAAAATAAACGATTAGAACGACTGAAATAACAACTACAACAACATAAAACATCAAAAAGTATGCGTGACAGTTTGGCACACGAAAAAAGGTAACACAGTTTCCTTACAAGAGATACCAGTCTGTTTAATATAAATATATACACATATACATCGAATGTCCAGGTGTTTTTAGGAGCATCATTTGACGCTATGCTACCACCTGAATCAATTTATTTTTACCTCCATGCCCTTTGAGTATTGGAAATAATTCTTAATATATATCATATATATTTAGTTCTGACCAATAAAAATAATACTAATACAGGTAAAAAGTGTTCAGTTCACTCCTTTATTCATCTTTACACTTGTTCAAAGAGTTATATTAACGTGATAACATTTATGTGCGTAATACAAGTATACCGGTTTTTTCATACCGATATATACATATGTATATCCATTACAAATGTTCTGTTTGTTGTGTATTGTTCAGTCGATGTGCTTTTCTTCTGTTGATGTTATTCACCTATGCATGTAACTTCGTTTAACATTTAAAAGAGCTTAAAGTGGGCGTTGGATAAATTCTTTCCTGAATCTAACAATGAACAGGCTTGTGAACGGGTATGATAACGCAATAAGTTTAGGAAATGACTATTCCTTCTTTGTCTATTCTCTAATGTGTGCAATTCAGTCTAAATTGCACACATTAGAAAAACGATATATATACACCTAATTTTCCTAAAATACTACATTTATCTTTACATTGCTGCTTGTATTTCGCTGCCCCACTCATGAGCTTGGAGTCCTATTGGTCGTTGACTTTTTTAAGTTATCAATGAAATTTATGACTCTCAGGGTCACTATATATATATAAATATACACGCAATTGCTGTCAGCCACTTTCGGTGTTAGTTCGAGACAGTAAAAGCCTTGCCTAGATTACTTAAACAAATCGCTACAAAAACATCAACACATAAATATATTAAAAATACTAAAAATATAAACAATAACCTTATTTTTCTCTGAAATCAGAGGAGTGAAATGACGCAGGCTGCTGGAAGCTTTCGGGAAGCCAGTCAGCCGATGTGCCTTCTCTCGATGAAAGCAAAAATAAGCATGGGGACGTGCAATGTTCGTACAATGTACGAAACTGGAAAGGCTGTCCAGGTAGACGCAGAAATGAGAAGATATAAAATAGAAGTGTTGGGAATCTACGAGAGCAGATGGAACGGATGTGGAAGGTGCCAACTACCAACTGGAGAGACAATAATCTATTCCGGTCACCCAGAGGACAATCACGAGCACATCCAGGGAGTGGCCATCATGATGTCACCAACAGCAGCCAAAGCTCTCATGCAGTGGGAAACAATCTCCTCCAGGATAATGACAGCTAGGTTCAACTCAAAAGGAAGGGAGGTTACAATCATTCAATGCTATGCGCCTACAAACGTCTCAGAACAAGAGAAAAAGGAGGCTTTCTACAGGCAACTACAAGTAACAATGGACAACGTCCCAAATGGCAATATCAAGATCCTGATGGGTGAAATGAATGAGAAGCTGGGAGGAGACAACACAGGAAGAGAACTCACCATGGGTCGAGAGGCCCTCGGTGAAATGAACGACAATGGTGAACTCTTCTCAGACTTCTGCGCCTTCAATGATTTGGTGATTGGTGGCAGTGTGTTCAAACACAAGGATATACACAAGGCGACATGGATTTCACCAGATGGACACACCAAAAACCAGATAGACTTCGTCTCAATCTCAAGGAAGTGGAGACAGAGCCAACTGGACACAAATCGAGAAGAGGAGTAGATGTGGGTTCAGACCTCTATCTAGTACAAGGGACTTTCAAGGTGAAGCTAAAAGCCTCGAGGATAGCTGGGGATAGACCACAACAGGCAAATTCAACACTCAAAACTGAAGGACACAACCACAAAGGACACTTCCACTGCAACTGTCAGAGCAAAGCAGGGAACACTACGTGACATCATTGAAGAATCATACGTGGAAGAACATTGGAACTCTCTGAAGGTGATTTTCAACGAAACGTGTTCAACGGTTTTAGAAAGAAAGAAGAGACAATACAAGGAATGGCTCTCAACAGACACTTGGAAATTAATAGAAGAGAGGAGAATGGTGTAAGAGAAAATGATTCAATGCAAAGACGGACAAGAGAAGGAGACGCTGAGTTCCACTTACACAGCACTAGACAAAGAAGTGAAGAAGAGTGCTAGGGAGGGCAAAAGAAAATTCTACGACAACCTGGCCACCGAAGCTGAGGAGGCAGCAGGCAAAAGGGACCTGAGGACATTAAATCAGATAACCAAATCTCTATCCTGGAAGAGATCAACACAAGTGAAACCTATAAAAGACAGCCAAGGAAACCCAATTACCAAGGAAGAAACGCAGATTAAACAATGGGCGGATCACTTCAAAGGACTCTTGAACCGGCCACCACCTGCAACCCGTCCAGAAATACCAACAACAGCGCGCACACAACTGCAAGTTGACACCAATCCTCCAACGAGAGCTGAAGTCTTGAATGCAATCAAGCTTCTGAAAGCTGGGAAAGCAGGTGGACCAGACGGAATACCTCCTGGAGCAATGAAAGCGGACCCAGAGACGACGGCAGATATGCTGGCTCCATTATTGCAAAAGGTCTGGAAGGAGAGAAAGGTGCCTACTGACTGGAGGAAAGGTTACTTCGTGAAACTACCAAAGAATGGCGACTTAGAACTCTGCAAGAACTGGAGAGGAATCATGCACCTGTCGACGCCAAGTAAAATCCTGAATCGCATCATCCTGGAGAGAATAAAGGACGCAGTGGATACAGAACTCCAACCAGAACAAGCTGGATTCAGGGAAGGCAAGTCATGTTTTGACGAAATTGCAGTTCTACGCATCATCATCGAACAAAGCATGGAATGGCAATCAAACCTCTACCTCAACTTTATAGACTTCGAGAAGGCCTTCGACAGAGTTGACCGAGAAGTAATATGGAAACTACTCGAGTACTACGGCATACCCCAAATATTCATCAACCTTATTCAACAGCTGTACGACAACGGCACATGTCAAGTGATCCACAACGGAAAACTCAGCGAGGCGTTTGGAGTAAACACAGGAGTCAGAGAAGGGTGCTTACTATCACCAATGATATTCCTAATTGTGGTTGACTGCATTATGCGTCAGACAGTGGGAAACCAGAAGACAAGAATATCCTGGACCGACGTGAAGGACCTAGAATACCTGGATTTCGCGCGTGGATGATTTATGTTTGAGGTCACACAAAATCGAAGACTTACAAGCGAAAACCGACAAACTGGTCGAAAAAGCAGACAGTGAAGACAGGACTCCAGGTGAACACAAACAAGACGGAGGTTATGAAAATAACCACCACCACCACCACCAACAACAACAACAGAAACATCCAGCGCCAATCACCACCAACGGGAGGGATTTGAAAGAGGTCACTTCATTCACTTATCTAAGGAGAATTGTCTCAACTACAGGAGGAACGGACGAGAATGTCAAATCGAGAATCGGGGAGGAGAGAAACACATTCATCAACCTGAAACAACCAATCTGGAAATCTTCGTCACTCATCCTCAACAACAAAATTCAGTCGGCTTTTCAACACAAACGTCAATTCACTCAGTTGAAACAGTATGGACTAACATGGATGCAGGTGAAAAGTACAGCAGAAGACAGAAGCAAGTGGAGACATGCAGTTGAAGCCTTATGTTGCACTAGGAACCCAGAGGAACAATAATAATAATGTTTTTGTGATATCTTGCTGTAAAGTGTAACCATTGAGAAGTTTGTCGAAAATAACAAAATGCCAACTTTAAAATTTAAAAGCGAAACAAGGTGAGATTTAAGAAATTCATCAAGTTTTGGTGGCACCGGTCAGCTAATACTGTACATCCAACGGCACTATGGGAAGTTCCATATTTTAAAAGCCTTCACAGACAGATCAGTATACATACTTTTTCTACTCAGTAAAAGAAGAGCTTAGTCAAAATATTGTTCAGTAGAGCATAGAATATTGCTTCCCATATATTATAAGTGAACACAAAGTAAAGACCGTACAAATCATTTAATCTAAGAATAGGTATCGGAAGAGATTTCTCAACAAGTATTCTGAAGGCATTGCATTCAAGTCAACTGTCCTAGAAGCTTTAAGAAAGACTGTACAACTCACTCTGTTATTTAAACGGCAGTATTTACAAGGAGCAGTTAGATTAAGACTTGATAAGGCTATATGATTTGTATTTCCTGGAGATATAAAGTGAGTTCCGCAACAACTTGGAAAAGACCAAACACACAGTTCTTCCATACGGATCAGAAACTTGGCGCTAGGCGGGCCACAAAGAATATTTCCAACAGCCTGTTGCAGACCTTTATCAACACCTGTCTTGGGTCTATACTGAAGATCAGATGGCCGGGCCGGAAAGAATCACCAACAAGAGACCATTGGAACAAACAAAACAAGAACCAATCGCCAACCGACAAATATGCAGGAGAAAGTGGAGATGGATTGGACACTCGCTGAGGAGGCCGCTGGATAACATCGCGCGTCAGGCCCTCGAGCGGAACTCGAAAGGGCAGCGGTGAGTGGGTCGTCAGTGCAAGAATCACATGGAGGAGATCGTGTGAAGAGGAGTTGAAAGAGTATGGACTAACATGGATGCAGGTGAAAAGTACAGCAGAAGACAGAAGCAAGTGGAGACGTGCAGTTGAAGCCCTATGTTCCACTAGGAACCCAAAGGAACAATAATAATAATAAAAGCTCTCTACGTCAACGGTCTATTTTTTTCATTGCGGGTTCAGTGGTATCATATCGTGCTATTGTTAATAGTGATTTGAACAGTAAGGCTAGGAAATTGTTTAGGTAGGAATTTCGTTAGAGCAAACTACCAAATGTATTAACGGTTATATCATATATATGATCTTATTTATTACAGAAATTTAACTGTAATACCTGTTATTTACCCGGTAGAATAACCACGAAACTGAGACACTGATTGCATTCTTCACAAATCCGTGTCAGTTTCATTATTATTATCGACAATACTTCTTGCAGTTTTATTACCTATAATATTAATGCACTGAGATCTACTCTAAACAGTGTAAGTTATTTTTATACACGATTTCAAGATACCATCACAAACTGATATAAGAAGAGAATTTGGGCACTGTAATAGAGTAAGACTCTATATTATTTGAAGACAATAGCATAGTATTATTCATTGATAATATAATACTGTATCAGTGAATGTTATCGAATAAAATCATTCTATGATGGAAGTATCACAAATTGCATGTTATTGGATTGAACACGTAGCAGCTGTACAATTCTCAAGTTTACTAGAAAGTTTTGGCAAGCATATATGAGTAACTGAACGAAGCATTGACCTATTTCAATTAACTCATGAAAGAAATACAATGAATACTTCAACTCGAATCAATAAGTAAGGAGAAATAGAAGAAGGATTACAGGGTTAACAAAAAACAAACAATATTTAAGGAAATTTCAAGAGACTGATTACTGAACAACGTATATTCTTTTCGAGAAATTCATCATCGGGTTGTAAGAGTTATGATGATGAAGAATATTCTTTGTTCACTAATCAATCTTTTAAAATTCAAAATGATAAACTTCAATCGATTCACTGTGTAAAACGTTTACCTGTAATCCACCAAAAAATAATAAATTCTAACATATTTAAACAATGTCCAAAGCAAAAACATATTATTGACACATATACAAAGCACTACTAGTTGCTAACCTCGACAACGATAACCTTGAAAGAAGATGCCTGTGATTAGCTTATTACAAATACAACAATAAGTTGGTTGTTTAAATGTGAACATTTCGAAGTTGTAGCCTCGGTCTTTCGCTCCAGGTGGGCATAGATTAGATCTAATAAAGATAAAAGAAGAAATAAAATATAAAGAGGTTAAATGTAATTTTTAAAAGAAAAGAAACATTCTTATTTATACATATAAATAACATTGTAGAAAGATGTAACTGGTTGAATAAACAGTGAGTCTAGAATGAATTTGAAATGTTTAACAATTATAAGGCGATTAGATTTGATTTGGTGGTTCGTGGCATCTAAAAAGATACAGATTCGTAGAAATATCGCAACGATAGAGGACAAGGAATGTTTATTTACAATTTGATACTTCTATATAACCAAATTACGTACACCTTAACTTAAAATCGTCATTTGCACAGATCTTCCGTGTTGTGCTTGCTACTACTACCTTTCGTACTGTTTCTTTTTCTGCTTTTCGTGTCTCCCATGGTTTTCCGCAACGCTGAATAATTTGCTCTCTTTGACGTCAAATCTACCCCACTGCTATTAGATATTTTAATGCCGACAGACGTCTCTTTATATATTACTGATAAGTCTTATCAGTAGTACATGCCACAATACCACCTATCATTTTAACAAACAGTAAGCTTCAATGCCCCTTAGGACTGCATTATAACTATTTGAGTAATACATCTTAATCTAGAAATTAGTCAACGAACAGGAGGGGAAATGAAGGCTGTGTCTTTAAAGAAGTAGACATAGTGATTATGTAGAAAACATACGGTATCGAAAAAGCAACGTACATAAAATCAAAAACAAAATTTTTCAATAGGAATCTAACAACAATCATGAGCATTTCAACAAACTTTCAGACTGTTCAATAATAATGACTAAAGATGGAAAAAAGAAACAAAACAAAACAAACAAATTTAAAAACGCAAAATAGCGAAAAAACAGTGGTACACATTGAACTTACAAAGCAGCCATTACAGCTTTCATCCAAGATGTACGTAATTCTTCAGATTTTGTAAAGAATGTAAGATTTGGTGAATCTCTGTCTCCAAGAATAGGCAAAGTAAACCCAAAGGAATACTAAATATGAAAAGCATAAAAATTATACAAACATAAACTAAAGGAACGATTAACTCAACAATAAGAAACACTTAAGTTCATGAACATGGTTAGAAGAAAAAGAATAAAACGAAAGCTAAAACACCCTAGTAATTGGTGATTAGATAACTACACACCCTCCAGAGCATACACGAAACTGGTGGTACTACACCAATAGGGAAAATCAAGTAATTATTCTGTAAGAGAAATCACTAAGGAAAAGTTGAACAATATAGAACCTGAAGACTAGAAAATACAGCGATGACAAGCTCGATTACTTAGACAAGTTTGATAATGACCTCTGCACACTGATGCAACCATACAGGGCGACAATACGTATGCCTATTCACTGATATCATATCAGCTTAAGCCGTTTCCAGTGAGGATGTGGTAGAATAACTTTCCAACATGATAGTATTGATAGTTAACAAGGTGAATAAATGGTGAATTCTACTATATGATAAAAAGCAAACAATTTTTTCTCAAGCAGTTTCACAGAAATATACACGATTTAGATTTCATTTTAAGTAAAAATGTAGATTTTGTCACAAACAAAATATGTGGAACTGGTGAAGAGCGTGTCTATGATCTATGGAATAAAAAGTACAAGTAAATAACTAGTTAAGAAGCTTGAAAAGGAAATACAAACAGATAAGTGTTAACCGCTTCTAGTACTTCATTTGTAAACAAGATTAAAAATTGTTCTGACAGTTATGATGATCACAACTGCAGAAGAAAATAATGAAAAGAGAAAATAGCAAGCCTCATCTGCTATTCTTCGTAGAGTTCAATTAGTAAAAGGACTGAATATAGAATGTATGCGATGTGAATGACCTAGCAGTACTTGCTCCAGTAATCTTTTATGTTGCAGCTGTGTGCGTGATTAGGATTTATCAAAGCAACAGTCACTTGAATAAAAACAAATATAAACCTAATTTAATCGTCTTTTGAATTCATATCCCATCAGTAAATAAATAAACAGTGAATCAAATTTCACTCTCTTTTTCTGCGTGCGCAGATTTATTGATTATGTAGTAAACTGAAATGACCTGAAATTCTTGCGGTTGACTTCCAGTCACTGATAAAATCATATAACTAGTTGTATACAACAATCACCGAATATAATTATGAATAAATTGGAGACACGATGAAACAAAATTCCAGGTAACCACTACAATATACTCGACTATAAAAGTGCTAATAGAAAAGATTTGTAACTCAGGTGGATGATTTGCAATTAATAGTGTTACTCTGACGCTGAATTAATTAATGCAAACAACACAAGTGTGACTATATAAAACATGGCAACCCGGATGCCTCTGGTTTGAATAATGCCATACATCACGCAGTACAAAAGGTAACGTTTAAAAATCAATATTAAATCTGTGATAATATGCATCAATCACTGGTTTCATTATTTAACCAACAACAAAATACATCACTAAACAACTGAAAAGGATATAATCTATATTATCTAACAACTTTAGTGAGTTGATGTAACAGTGATAAAAATAATCCACTAACACGTCAACACTCTTCAGTGTTCAGTTTTTGACCGATTATCTGACAATATTCACCTGGTCTTTTGAAACATTTAAATGATTCACTTCATAAGCTTAGTAAACTGAATCCTTACAGACCGTTAGGAATAATGAACAACTTAGTAAATTGCACTATAAGCGCATTACAATAGGCTGTGTCAGCGGCACAGCGGTTAGGACTCTCGCCGATCATGCACATGGTCCAAGGTTCGATCCCCGGCCGACGCATACCCGATATCTATGGTCGGCCTGCAGAATTTGGGCTACAGATATCACATGCTGAAAATTCCACACCTGCACCAAAAATAAGGTGTGGAATTTTTTATTTTTTTATTTTTGATTACAGCTTGATTCCACACCGTACTTTTGGTACAAGTATGGAATTTTCAGTATGGATATCGGTAGCCCAAATTTCGCAGGCCGACTATAGATATCAGGTGTGCGTCGGCGTGGGCTCGAACCCCGGACCATGTGCATGGTCGGCGAGAGTCCTAACCACTGTGCCACTGACTCACAGTTGTAATGAAAAATATAAAAAATTAAATGAATACTTTGTAAAAATTAACCGATTGTTACATTCTACTGGCTGTTATGTTGTATTTGATCTGACTTTACAAAAAGTTATTATCAACTTAAACAGTCGAGACATAGTGTCAACTAACATTAAGGTATAAGAAAGAAGTTTCATCCAACACTAATCATCCACAGGCATTATAGAGGATTTTCAGCAAGGAAAAAATTACTATGGTCAATTTCACTGCGAAATAGGTGAACATCGTAAAGTATTCTATGCATATACATTTTCTTGACGAAAAAGTAAAAAAGCAAGCATACGCTGCGCACAAAAAGAAGTAAAACTACAAAAAGAAAAGAGAAGACAGATAAAGAACAATAATATGAAAACAGGTAAATATGATTATCAAAAGGATTTCAAAAGGGTTGATTACTTCATGTTATTTTTAGAATAAGAAAAAAAAGAAACTGCAACATGTTCATCAGTTATTTGGATCAATGGTACTGACAGGAGTAAAAAGGAGACACAACACCTAATTTCAGGTGTAATGTGCTAACTCCAGTTACAATAAACTGAGCACAGAAAGCAATGTTCTAGTCAAAACTTAGCATTTTTCTGCAAAAATATAACCACTTATTATTATCTAAGCGAGTATTTTGCGCATACTATGACAAATAAAACAGCACGCCTCTGTATCGATTTATGAATCCTTCCCACTGTTAACCAGTCAACCATAAAATTAAAAAAACAAACAAGACTATCAATAGTACACTTCGCCTGATCTATAGCGAACTACGTAATGTAGGTTAACTGATCAACTTTTACATAATATGATTAAAAATCAGTTATTTAAAGAAAACATAAAACAGAATAAATGAAATCAAATAGCTTTGACACACATAAGCTCACTCTATGAAAAGCTTTAGATCTTTATAGAGTTAATTCTACCCCTCCTCCAGTCCTTCGTGTCTATTTGTGTCCTCTTTAGGAGTACCGCCTCGAAACACTATCGAAATGAACTCAAGATCATAATGTATAGAAGGGAATACATGCAGCCCATTTTGTAGTAGTATAGTTAATATTCAGGAATATAAACACTTCTGCATTCAACAAAGATAATAAGTGAAACTCGAGACGAAGTCCGGTTAGCTATCAAGTTCTTAAAAAACATTCGGTGAATACTTCTCCACTGCTTTTCAGATAACAAAACAATTTCTTATTGGTACGACGTCAGATCACGAGGAGCGATGTCATACAAACGTAATTAGTGTGAAAAAGCAACCTATTTGACACTAGACGCTGTCAGAAGTGAACTTTCTGCACAAGTTTACATCTACCACCACTTGATAACGACGACCAATAAGGAGTTTAGAACTATGGAAAAAAAATATTTTTAGATATCGATGTTTTAAAAAAACCGAATAATCAAAACTACTGTTAGAGAAAAAACACACCAAAAGGCAGACAAAGTTCACGGCTAAGTGGACTTTCGTACATTCTTATACAACCATTTTAAAAAGTTAAGACTGATAAGGTATTATGAACATAAGCGAAAATAGTGTTTATTATTAAATTCGACTTACTCCTTTTTTATTCGGCAGAGTTACCCTTTGAAATTGACCATTCACAACGTGATAAGCGAACATAAATGTGAAACTATCACCCTAGAATAAAGTCGAAAAAATGTAAATGATACAGAAGTAAGCATTTAAAGATTAGTGTCAACAAAAGGAGTAACCTAGGTGCTTATATGTGTGACTATTGTTTTTAGGTATGATGCATTGAAATAAGCAATACAATACTGTGTCCTCATTACTCCATTAAATCTGTCACATCTATTGCGAATAGGGCCAGTCGCTCACTGGTAGGTAGTTAGCTGGGTTCCAGTGGGAATTCGTGACTAGTGGGGTGCAGCGAGTTGGGTGTGAGGACAAATACTCGCCGAAGACATTGGCTAGCGGTCGCGCTATGTCGTGAATTAGCAGAAGTTAGAATTCAAGGACGATTGGATTGGGTCCCAGTGGCTTAATGGTAAACGAGCTCGCCTTGTAACCGGAAGGTCTTGGGTTGGAATCCCGGTGGGTGCGTAGTGCTGAAGAGCCCCAAACTAGGACGAAACCTCTGTCCAGTACTCCCAGGATTCACAATGGTTCTCTAACTGATGTCAGCTCATGACGAAATCCTGAAAGCCATTATTATTATTTAATTAGCATGACTGCAAATTGTGATGCACCATTGAACACAAGACAGTTAATCCACAGGAATTTTCTAAATTTAGATGCTAATATGCAAGCAAGAAATGTCTGGAAGCTTGAGAAAACTCAAATTTCTTTCAGTACAAGTAATCTCATCACTCAGCGTCGAGAGTGGTTGGTTCGCCACTTTCAAGTATGCTGTGTGATCTACTGAACACAACCCCAAAATTGGGACCTAATCTTACTTAAACCAAACGAGTGTAAATAAAGTGTGCCATGAAGATATAATCCTTCTTCTTTATAATAGTACCTACTATTTTTGTACAAATCAGAATATGTAAATAAATCGCCTGCCCACTTCACAATTTACCAATCACAATAATCATATTTCTAATGTATGAACACATGACTAATAATATCCTGTTTTCCCTTCTTATTTTAAAACATCACTTATCTATCGTCTTGGAGCCTCGAAAAAATTGTGCACATGCACAAAAGGACAGTCAGAATCATCTTCATGCAGCAATTGTATCTAACATTCACATTACACCAAATCGCCTTGACTAGGATATTTATTTTCAAAAATAAAACTAAGATATTCGTTTATCAGAAAAGATGTAAGCTTTGAGTAAACTATTTGAAAACTGTAAAATTACAAAGCCTGTGGGAATATTTCACAAATTTAACCTGATATTTTTTATTGTTTAAAAATTAACGCCTACAGTTAATCAATACAGTTGAAAATAGTAATGTGGCGTTTGTTTCTGATAAGATTTATCAGCAGTACACAGACACAGGTTGATAGGGAGTAGCCAAAATTGAAAACAACATTTTAAGACAGTGGCTACAGGAGTAGAAGCGTACGTTTCTTAAATGTGGATTTAGCTTACCTTGTAGTCAGGATACAATCTTAATGTTTAGCTTTCAGAAAATCAACAACTAATCAGAATAGTTCATAATACTTTGACCTAGCTGACTATAAATGTGGCTAAAAATGTATATGTACTGTTTTTAGTCACTAAAAATGTCCATTACCATGTCTTTTGTCTTCACCCATTACAAATACTAGTCTGATGTAGAATTTACGTTTTAAAAATTTAGAAATAGTACACTGACTGAGTTTCAACATGGAACTTGGTGCAGAAGTGCGGCAGTTCAAGTTGCCACACTCCATTTAGTACGCAAAGGTAGAGAAAAAAGAAAATTCAGGGGAGCTATATTGAGCAAAAATATGCAGGAGAGAGAACAGTGACATGGATAAACATGAGGACTTAGTGGATATGGAAGATCGAAAAGAGTGAACGTATCTGCACTATTGACAACGACTTTGTGGCATATCACCGATGGTCTCTAGCCACTGGTTCCTAGCATCCACAGGACACTAATCAAGCAGTTCACACTTCCATAGGTTACTCATACCAACAGTCAAACACTTTATGGTATGATGCCAGGTTTTGGTTTGACCACTCCTAAACGTTTTTTAACCTAATCCGATATCAACTAAGATCGATCGTTGGCGAAGGCCGTAGCTCAACATATACTCTACAAATTCTGATTGTACAGTTTCCACTTCCTTGCTTTGTTTTTGATCACTCCATTAGCAGATAGATGTAACCAGTTAAATCACTACAAATTAATGCTAGCTCAACGTTATTAAGATCTGTCTCTACTCAGCTGCATATGACTTTCCTAAGAGCTTTAGGTTATAGGTTTGAGAACACCATCCTCAACCAGTGGGTTACGAAACTGAATTCAACTGTAACTATAGAATTTTGGACAGTCTCACATAATATCCTCAGAATTTACACAATACATGTGAGTCACTGCCCACAGAACACAGCTGTGTATGATTGTTGACGTCAATTTACATGGTCAACTGCTTTTGCAAATTCGTGTATATCATTTTATTCGATAAAGATTGTTTTTGATTGCATTTAATAGTATTATTACTACTTAGGATTTCAAAGCGTAACGGAAAACAGTCTGTTAGTCTAATTTATATATTATTCACTTATTAATATCTAAAAAGCATTCGAAACCACTGATGTAACGGTAGGATACAAGAGGCTTGGTAGTGGAATGTTTATTTGGGATATGTCACCTATATATAGCGAATTTATGTACATCTTATCTTAAAATCGTTATGTTCACAGATCTTGTGTGTCGTGCTCAATCTTTCCTTAGTATTATATTTCTTTATCTGCTTTTCGTGTCTCCCATGTTTTCCCACAACGCTGAATCATTTGCTCTCTCTTATGGTGTTTTTACGCCAATGAATGTCTCTTTATATACTACTGATAAATCTTATCAGTAGCACACACCACACTGATATAAAATGGGTGATATACAAATTTTATTATCTACGCCTGTAGGTTGCAGAATATCCAGTTAGATAAACACCCTATATACACAGAAGAAATAAACTAAAGTATACATTTTTTTAAACATGTGTAAATAAGATAAAGGATAGTTGTTGAAAGTCACCTAAGTTTTCATTTTATTAATACCTTCAACTTTTGTATCCGTCATCTTTATATCATCCTCACAGGGGAAAATAAGTAATAAACATGCATAATTTGCAACAATCTTCAGATAAATTATAATACACTTTATCTGCAACTGATGAAGCTACATGCCAGGGAAAGGAAATAATTGCCTACCTTTGGTTTGCATACGATCAATATTTTGTCGAATAAAAACAAATACCTAAAATAGAATAAATAATTATACAGGGAAAAAGGCAGAAAGGTAATAAGGATTGAAATAAAGTGAATAAATAACACCAGTAGAATACAATACACATACATACACATATTCAGTCTGTATTTGATGAGTGTTTGACATAGAAATACTATGAATTAAAAACAAAAAGACTAGTTGATCGTCAAACGCTAATCAAATGTCAGTTCTGGGTTCGAACCCCGACGGGTGCATAGTCTTGAAGAACCGCATACTAGGACGAAACAGCTGCCCGGTACTCCCAGGTTTCCCGATGGTTCTTTAACTAATGTCAGCTTAAGATGAAATCCCCAAACCAACAAAAAAAAATCCCAACAAAAATCAATACTTGAAAATGTAGAAAAGGCAAATGTCTTTTTTGGACAATGGATATACTAGTAGGTTTATTGGAAAAAATTCGAAAAAATAATCATATCTGACCAAAATCATGGTACCAAAGAAGATATTAATTTGTGAGTTTAGCATTCGAAGGTGACACCTACTGCTGAAATAATAGAAGGCCTTTATCCAAGTGCATTAAACGCTCTTTTTACATGGCTGAATGACGCCTGATATGCTGCAGCTGAAGTATAATTCGACATTGTGTGAAGGATAAACAAATAGCCGCTTATACCAACCTCTCTGTCTATATATATATATATATCTTTTCTTTCACGTGTTCCTGTACAGCTGATTACATTGGTCTCGTAAAAACGTTCTCCAGAAACGCATAGCTGAACACAAACCGGTTTGGTTGGTGTAAAGAGGAAATAAGATCAAAAGGTCTTCCACGTGTGCACACTTGATTGAGATCATTTGAACCCGTGCAATTTATCCTTTTAACTTGTCTAAAGGGCTAAATTCAGTCACCACTACCCCCTAAGCATGGGTAGAAACCTGAACAACGTATTCAAAAATATATTCTTAAACCACTTTTCTTTACCCTGGCCATATAGTAATGTCCTTTCTCTTATTTTTTTAAAAATATTTTATTTTGTCAGTTAAATTCATTTCATTTCAATTCATCTTCTCTTTTGGTGCTATTATCATAGCATTTTTAATTTTTGACAACACTAGAACTATTTAAAAATTCTTAACAACAACTAACCTATTTAATATTCATGTAAAAATTTTGTAATTCAAATCTACAGCCCTCACTCCGTAAAAACTGTATCAATTGTCTTCATTCTTAACATATGTATGTTGACGTGAGCAACTTTTAGTGCCACTTATTGCTCTTTTACGTAATATAATCAGGACCATACAGGTTGAAAATTAAGTAGTCTAGAACAAATATTTCTTCACTGAATAAAACTCTGTCTTTGCTTATCAATGATTGAATGGGTCGTCCTGGAAATTGACTGCTTTAATATTTCGTCCGGCGAATTCATCAGAATTTCTTTGGGGAGTTAGCCAAAAACAAAAGGTTGTAATTACTTGTTTCAATACCTTTGAGAATTATGTAAACATTAACTGAGGGTGGTTGTGAGAGATACATTCTTGAATACTACGATGCGCAAGGCTAACCAGAATGAAAATAATTTGAAAACAATGTATGGAATGTTTGACTCTGTTCATCTCAAATACATAAATATCTCTAGACTGTCTGATGATCAGTAATTATTCAGTGTTATAAGAGAAAATATTTAACGCATACAAATAAAATTATAACAGCACAGTGCTTATTTATGCAGCGTGAAATAATAATATAAATGGGTGTAAAACAGCAACGATGCGCACTTGATAAAACCTAAAAGAAAAGAAGATGATAAATTACCTTGTTTTTGCTTTGCTTTCTGATTCTGAAACAACTTTCACCTCACCATCCATGTGCAAATGTCCATAGCTCGACAACTTTTTATCTGGAGGCTAGAAGATAAAAAAATAATTAGTAAAATGACGTAGTAATAATCAGTGAAAGTGTTGCGTGTTTTCAAGAAGACCAAATAACACAAACACTTTCTAATTATTCACGAAATGTTAAGCTCATTCATTCATTTTGGTAATTAAAAGTTTGCTTAGTTCTATAAATAAATATATTTGCTATCCTAATAAAAGCCAAATACCATGATAGTGATATTTCATCCAACAAAACACGTGATAAGGAGAGAGAAAAAAGGGGAAAGATAAAAGGTTACGATGAGGATAAATGCAAATTTATGCAATCAGGTGGTAGTTTAAGCCATAACCAATAAGAAAAAAGATGACCTGATAGCGACATAGACCCTGCGATGATGTAACATATAGTATATAACCATTTACAATAAATATACAACAACATGCATGAACACCACACCTGTGTGCGTGGATCGATACTTCATACATATTAATAGTTAAAATCAAAAAAATATTTAGAGCGAAACTTAAACCGCTGTCCGCTTGACTTTTCAGGCGAATAATAATAAACTTACTTCTTAACAGGGGAAAACCAAACTAAGGTGAACAGTAAGATACTTGCTCACGACTACCTTGCTTCGATGTATTGCATTTATAAGTGGAGCGTGTTGACCACTTCACTTGTTTGGCGAGTAGTATCAGCCAACGCTAACGGGTCGATCACTGACAAAATCCCAGCACGGATACAGAAGACTCGTTTGGCACTTTTCAGCCAACTTACGCCATCTCTGGCATAGAAATGATATCCGGCTGTCGACCGACCAAAGGGCGCGTGTACTCCTCAGCAGTCCTCTCTGTCCTCCTTCATGGATGTGAGCAACATATGGCTATTGAAAGTAGAAGATATGAAAAGGCTAGCTGTCTTTGATCGATAGGTGTCTGCAATCTATCTCCTGTGTTAAGTGGCATAATAAGGTGAGGCGTCGGTCGAGTGCTACGTGAGAAGGGGAAATCAGTCGACGAGGCTGTGAAGTTACACCGATTCAGATGGTTAGGGCATGTGTTACTCATGCCCAGCCATCGCCTTTCTCGACGGGTAATGTTAGCTGACATAAGATCAGGTTGGAAAAGTGTTGGCTAGTGGTTATCAAACCAAAACATCGCTTCATAAGTCAATAAAATTTGCAGCAATGAGTTTAAGCCAGTCACACAGGGCGGTGTAGACGTCCTAGTTGTGATCCTCGGGATGGTGAAAACCAATCGCTGAATACGATTGGTGACATGGCTTAATATCATCGTCCTCAATGAATATCGTAGATGCATTCAATTATTGTGATTTGTTATGTCCAATCAGACTCAACTGTTCTTCCATATTACTATTCTTTTTGCCTTACACTTACGTCTATCATCTCCCTTTTGAACCTCTGTTTACTCTCTTCTCTTGCTTTGTGTGCTAAGTGGAGTGTGGCAACTGGACCTGTTGTGTATCTGTGCAAAGTTCAGTATTGAAACCAGTCATTTAGACAGACATATGTAAGTCAGTGTGAAGTGGAAGAGAGATGTTACTTGGTAGCCGGAAGCTATACTATTTTTTGCATACAAATGCTGAAAAATAATTATAATTCAGTTGTGCAGTGTATAGTGGTACAGATACTCAGCATTAGAACGGGAGGTAACGAGACTGGATGCATCACTTTCATATTTGAATAGTGCACTTATATAATTAAGTTGATCTCAAAAATATATTTCACGGCTAAATGGTAGAAATATTACTCTATATTACCGTTTTTCTTAAACAGAAACGATTACAAGTATAGAGAAACATTAAAAATTTTAGTGCTGGAAGATGAAAAATACATAGAAAATAAGTTGGAAACGTTTAGATAGATATTGGATAAGAAAAGTTTATCAGTAAATAATTGACAATCAATAGTTCATCAAATGAACCCTAGTTTAATACATACCAAATAAAAAGAAATGATATCTCAGGAAAATACTCATTAAAAACGTCAACGATCAATTTTAAGCTTCTCAGACAAAGCTGTTTACTTTCTACTCCTTAAACACTCGTGTAGACCATTTCATAGACATTCGAAATGCAGACAAAGAAGAACAATGTATTCCCAAATAATCAAATTGCTTTATGAATATAACTTTTCAAAAGTGAAAATTTGTCTAATAAATCTAGCTTTACACATGTGCTTGTCATGAAGGGAAGTCATTAAAATGACAGATGAAGTTAATTGATACTTTTTTTTCCAGTGAGAAAAATTTTTATGGGCTAATGACACACAACTGAAGAAAAAATTAAATATTTTAGTTTTTAGTACAGCTACTTGAAGCAAAAGAAAGTCTAGGGCTGGAAAGTATGAACTAATTGATGACAATTAGCAGTCTATGCCAATAAAAGTTAATTTTATGAAACTGACTTTAGTGCTACTCTAAATAGATGGGAACACATACATCTGGTAGTTTATTTGTTGTTCATTTTAAATTTATATTACAGAAAAACATCAAAGGTTGTTTCATCAATTTTCATATTGTATCAATCGAGAACATCTAGCCCATATAGCAAATCAACCCTTATTTTAATTCCCTTTTTTTCAAAAAATATCCCTAAATAATTCTATACAGCTGATACTCAAACTATTCAAAATGATTATTTAATTCAATTTTAGATTTTCCCGTCGATTGATTGGACCGAAGTGCTCGGTCTCAGGTTGATATGTCGGCTTCTTGTGCGGATGCTTCGACGATGTCTAGGCGTGTAATTAGGAGTCAACCGGAGACCGGGCACTTCGGTCCAATTAATCGACGGGAAAATCTAAAATTGAAATAAATAATTCATATGACCCGTTGCAAACGAGGTGGATCTCCTGACCCAAGTGGTCTAGTGGATAACTCTTTGACGTTTGAAGCTATGGGTGCTGGGTTCGAGCCTCAGTGGGAACATCACCACTCACTAAAAAATGAAGGTACGTCCAGTGATAAGTCCCGAACAGGACGAAATGCGCATCCTGGATCCCACTGCTAATCACTATACATCAATTAACTTCTATTCAAAATGATGTATGCATAGGACGATAAAGTAGTCATATGCTAAAGTCAACAAAACTATTACTTGTTGTATATTGATGTAATATAAGCCCTAGGCCTTTGTTTGATTTCTTTAAAATGTTTAAAACTTTATGAACTCAGAGCTATGATTATATATATATATATATATATATATATATATATATATCGGATGCGTATTCTACATCTGGAAGTTTCATTGGTAAACATTTAGTGCATACAGATCAGGTGAGTAATAAACCACCAATGAAGTAAAATAATTAAAGATAAATCACTCAAGTGAATGACAAACAAATGCATATATATATATATATATATATATATATATATACAGCGTACAAATAAAATATGGTTGCATAGATGAAAATCAATGGGAAACAGTGAAAACATACTTACCAGCATTATTTCAAGCAAACTGTCAATATGATGAAAAACACAAGGGTGAGGGTAAAAGAAAAGATTTATATATATATATATATATATATATATATATATATATATATATATAATGCTTAACTCAACATTGAATTGATTATCTAAAAAGTGATTCAAGTATGATTGCTGTTCGACATATACGAAAAGCGATATACTCCGCTGATGAGTTTTAATAGGGACGACACGTAGATCTAGCATTCCTATCTCACTTACCACGGTAAGACAGATTCTTTATTGATGACAAGGAAATTTGTTTAAAGCTGACAGGAATAGTATAAAGACTCTGCATATAGTATGTTTAAGATAGGAAAGGGGAAGCTAGCTGTTTATCAAGTAGCAATATTAATTTATTTCATTTCATTCCTTTACGTTCTAAGTAGAACACAGGGGTTGAAGCTAGAGTGTTGAAGTTTTACGGGATGGGATTGCTAACCTCATGCCCAACCTTCCCTCTTTATCAGTCTTATTACCGGCATAGCGAGGTAAAGGAGTGCGCCGGCCGTGGATCGAACCTCGAAACATGTGTGTGGTTGACGAGCATTCTACCGCTGTGATACCACCGACGCACTAGCACTATGAGTATCACTATTAATCATCATCATCATCTGTCCCAACTTACTTAAGACCTTAGAGTAGTATACTATAAAAAAAAAAGATATGCGAATACTGAGAAGTGGCCGGGTTTGAATATTGCAATGACCTAACCAACGAATGACCCGACCGAAAGCCCCTACCTTGACGTGGTGGTCGGGCTTGAACACCGTAATGACCTATTCAAGCTATACTGGCTGAGACTTATGTCTCTTGAGGTCCTACCATGCCAGGCAAGTTGTTTGGATAGCGGTTAAACAAAAAGCAGCTACCCAATCCAACATCATGATCAATACAAAATCACAAAATTTCATGCCGGATCGGCCGTGGCCCGGATTAACAACGACCGCGCTTCCTGCTGCCGTGTCATAGGGCAGGAGTGATAAGTATGCTACTGAGACACACAAAAACAATAAAGAACAAACAAAAGCAGGCCACGTATGACCGGCCTCAAGCAGTTGTCCCCTGGGCTCTGCGGTCACGCAACCAACTTTCACGGTGTGGGCAGCCGGGAAGTAACAATCGCCCTCACAATCCAAAACGCACGCGAAACCTCTCTATTACTCACTCATCTTTGTTTTCATCTTCATCTCTATCATCTTGCCTTCCTCCCACTGATGCAACTCCTCGGCTTGATAGCTCTTCACTTCCTCTCCACTCTGCGTCCACTAAAAACGATGGAAGCCAAAAAACCACCACCGATAGCCTCTTAAAGCCGCGCCACCAATTTCATATAGGAGCTTTTAATGTTAGGACGCTTTGCCAAATAGGACAACAAGCATCACTAGCCAAGACCCTGGCATCCCGAGCCATTGATGTATGCTGTGTTTCAGAAACACGCATACAAGACTCAAGTGTGGTTATTCACCTAACCCCACCTGGCCAACAGGTTGAATCTGCAAAATTCACCTTGAGGGTGTCAGGAGATGCCACAGCTAGTTCACGAGGATTAGCTGGTGTAGGGATAGCTTTTAGTACCAGGGCAGAAAAGACATTGCTTGACTGGATCCCAGTAGATAGCCGAATGTGTGCTGCCCGTCTGAACGGATCAGTAAAAAGGAGAAAGGACTGCACTACTCGCCGATGCCTTTTCGTAATCTCCGCCTACGCCCCCACTGACTGCAGTTCAGATGAAACGAAGGATGAGTTCTACCAAAAGCTGTCTAGTTTGGTGCGAAAGGCTAAACGCTCAGACATTGTCGTTCTAGCTGGTGACTTTAACGCTCAAGTAGGGAAATTGTGTCAATCTGAGAAGGATGTCGGTGGCACTTATGGAGTTCCGTGCCAGCGAACCAACAACGGTGACCGTCTCCTACAGTTCTGTTCAGATAATCATTTGTTTCGTGTAAGCACTAACTTCAAACACAAGGAGAGACACTGTTTGACTTGGAGACCCCCTTCATCAAGCCAACGCTGGACACAAATAGACCACATAGCAATAAGCTATCGTTGGCGTGGGTCGGTAGGAGATTGTCGCTCCTTCTGGAACACTTGTGTAGATACCGACCACGCACTGATTCGCGCTCGGGTGTGCTTACGACTGAATGGACGTAGGAAACAGCTGGCGGTAAAACCATCACGTCCCCAGCTCGATCAGGAAACGAAATCCGTATTTGAGGAAGAACTAGCTAAACATATATCTGCGTTCGACAGGTGTGCTCACCCTGAAGAAGCTTGGAAGAATATCCAGGCAGCCATAGATACAGCTGTAAAAGCTGTGAATAAGGTTAACCCAAAGGTGAGTAAAAACCACTGGATCTCCACCGCCTCATCCGAACTGGTAGATGCTAGAAGACTTATTCCGGCGAGCTCCGAATTCAATGAGGAGCGAAAGCTGCACAAGAAGAAACTTACGAAAAGTCTCTGCAAGGACCGTGAACAGTGGTGGGTGACAAAAGCCAAAGAGATGGAGAAAGCTTCGAGGATAGGCAACACCAGGCAACTATTTAGACTCATCAGGGAAACGGGTGGGAGAAGACAAATCATTAGTGAAACAATCTCGGAGAAAAATGGCACTATAATTAGCTCCCAGGATAGACGACTGGATCGCTGGAAAGAGCATCATGAGGAGCAGTTTAATTTGCTCACAGCTACGCTCAACCTGCCGAGCATCCAACACCTCCCTGAATGGGATATAGACACAGGTCCTCCATCCCTAACTGAGGTTACTAAAGCTGTCACCAATCTGAAACTAGGCAAAGCAGCGGGACCTGATGGAATGACTCCAGAGGTATTTAAGTACGGTGGAGACAGCTTACTGTCTGCATTAACTGAGGTACTAGGCAGCGTCCGGGAATCAGAAGAAGTCCCATCGGGTTGGTGTAAGTCACTGATTATCCCCATATACAAGAGTCAGAAAAACAAGGAATCAAGCAATCGGAACAAAAGTTAGTCATACTCCGTGTAGCACGTGAAGCAAGAGAAGAAAGTACAAGAAAAGCATAATAGAGACAGTGAGCAGAGGTGTGAGACAAAGGAGGAATAACGGAGGACAAAACAGTTTCATTGGAGATCATAAGTCACAAGGAGTGGATGCATCTGCGCCACTGAGAACGATTTTGAGCCATGTCACCAATTGTTTCCAACCATAGATTTTTACCGTCCCGAGGACCCCAACCAGACAGGAAGTATACATCTTCCTACGTGGCTGGCTTAAACTAACTGTTGTGGATTTCATTGACTGGTGAAGCCATGTTTTGGTTTGACCGCCACTAGCTCTTTTCCAGCCTGACCCTATATCAGCTATCACTGCCCACCGGTCGAGGAAGGCGATGACTAGACATGTATGCGTAACACATGTCCTAACCATCTCAGTCTTTGTAACTTCACAACCTCGTTGATTGATTTCCCCTGTTTACCTAGAACTCGACGCCTAACCTCAATGTTGCTCACCTTATTATGCCACTTTACACGGGAAATAGAGAGCAGGCACCTATGATCAAAGACAGCCAGCTAGTCTTTTCATGTCTTCCACTCTCAGTGGCCAGGTCTCACAACCATAAAGGAGGACGGAGCGGACTGATGAGCAGTACACCTGCCCTTTGGTCGATTTTTTTTTTAGATTTTTAGATTTACAGCTTGATTCCACACTGTATTTTTGGTACAAGTATGGAATTTTCAGTATGGATATCGGTAGCCCAAATTTCGAAGGCCGACCATAGATATCAGGTGTGCACCGGCGTGGGCTCGAACACCGGACCATGTGCATGGTCGGCGAGAGTCCTAACCACTGCGCCACCGACGCACAAAAAAAAACCTAAAAAAAAAACGTGCCCGACCACTTCACTTCCTATTTTTAAACTAGGCGTCGATGTAGTCCAGTCCTGTAACATCATCTTGCATTTGGCGGGAGCGAATCGCATGCCAAACATTCGTAGATTGCAGCTCAAGGTGTTTAGAAGACTCTGCATTTTGTCAGCGTCTTCGCCTAGAAGGACTATATCGTCTGCATATTCCAAGTCAACGAGATTATTCCCGGTAGCAAGTCAATCCCTGAGTCGCTGAAGTCACTAAGGGTTAAGTCCATTAACACATCTATGATGAAGTTGAATAGAAAAGGGGATAATGGGCATCCTTGACGGACACCACTGGTCGTCACCAGTTCAGATGACAGCTCGCCGTAAGCCCTCACCTGGCTGTATGAGTACGAGTAGAGTGCCTTAATCAGTGCAATATATTTTCTCGGAATTCCCTTTACAGCCAAGCATCTCCAGAGAACTTCTCGATCGACAGAGTCGAATGCTGCCTTTAGGTCAAGAAATATAATGACTGTTGGACGCCGGTAGGAATGCCTATGTTCTAGAATCTGTCGGAGGGTGAAGATATGATCAATACACCCTCTTCCTGGTCTAAAGCCTGCCTGGCTCTCTCGTGTTTGTGCCTCCCGAGCACCACTCAGTCTACGCATGATTATTGAGCCTAAGACTTTAGATACTATATTAGTCAAGCTAATCCCTCTGTGATTATCACAGGAAGACTTGTCTCCCTTCTTGTATATGGGGATAATCAGTGACTTACACCAACCCGATGGGACTTCTTCTGATTCCCAGACGCTGCCTAGTACCTCAGTTAATGCAGACAGTAAGCTGTCTCCACCGTACTTAAATACCTCTGGAGTCATTCCATCAGGTCCCGCTGCTTTGCCTAGTTTCAGATTGGTGACAGCTTTAGTAACCTCAGTTAGGGACGGAGGACCTGTGTCTATATCCCATTCAGGGAGGTGTTGGATGCTCGGAAGGTTGAGCGTGGCTGTGGGCAAATTAAACTGCTCCTCATAATGCTCTTTCCAACGATCCAGTCGTCTATCCTGGGAGCTAATTATAGTGCCATTTTTTTCCGAGATTGTCTCACTAATGATTTGTCTTCTCCCACCCGTTTCCCTGATGAGTCTAAAGAGTTGCCTGGTGTTGCCTATCCTCGAAGCTTTCTCCATCTCTTTGGCTTTTGTCGCCCACCACTGTTCACGGTCCTTGCGGAGACTTTTCGTAAGTTTCCTCTTGTGCAGCTTTCGCTCCTCATTGAATTCGGAGCTCGCCGGAATAAGTCTTCTAGCATCTATCAGTTCGGATGAGGCGGTGGAGATCCAGTGGTTTTTACTCACCTTTGGGTTTACCTTATTCACAGCTTTTACAGCTGTATCTATGGCTGCCTGGATATTTTTCCAAGCTTCTTCAGGGTGAGCACAGCTGTCGAACACAGATATGTGTTTAGCTAGTTCTTCCTCAAATACGGATTTAGTTTCCTGATCGAGCTGGGGACGTGATGGTTTTACCGCCAGCTGTTTCCTACGTCCGTTCAGTCGTAAGCACACCCGAGCGCGGACCAGTGCATGGTCGGTATCTACACACGTGTTCCAGAAGGAGCGACAATCTCCTACCGACCCACGCCAACGATAGCTTATTGCTATGTGGTCTATTTGTGTCCAGCGTTGGTTTGATGAAGGGGGTCTCCAAGTCAAACAGTGTCTCTCCTTGTGTTTGAAGTTAGTGCTTACAAGAAACAAATGATTATCAGAACAGAACTGTAGGAGACGGTCACCGTTGTCGGTTCGCTGGCACGGAACTCCATAGGTGCCACCGACATCCTTCTCAGATTGACACAATTTCCCTACTTGAGCGTTAAAGTCACCAGCTAGAACGACTATGTCTGAGCGTTTAGCCTTTCGCACCAAACTAGACAGCTTTTGGTAGAACTCATCCTTCGTTTCATCTGAACTGCAGTCAGTGGGGGCGTAGGCGGAGATTACGAAAAGGCATCGGCGAGTAGTGCAGTCCTTCCTCCTTCTTACTGATCCGTTCAGACGGACAGCACACATTCGGCTATCTACCGGGATCCAGTCAAGCAATGTCTTTTCTGCCCTAGTACTCAAAGCTATCCCTACGCCAGCTAATCCTCGTGAACTAGCTGTGGCATCTCCTGACACCCTCAAGGTGAATTTTGCAGATTCAACCTGTTGGCCAGGTGGGGTTAGGTGAATAACCACACTTGGGTCTTGTATGCGTGTTTCTGAAACACAGCATACATCAATGGCTCGTGATGCCAGGGTCTTGGCTAGTGATGCTTGTTGTCCTATTTGGCAAAGTGTCCTAACATTAAGAGCTCCTATATGAAATTGGTGGCGCGGCTTTAAGAGGCTGTCGGTGGTGGTTTTTTGGCTTCCATCGTTTTTAGTGGACGCAGAGTGGAGAGGAAGTGGAGAGCTATCAAGTCGAGGAGTTGCATCAGTGGAAGGAAGGCAAGATGATAGAGATGAAGATGAAGACAAAGATGAGTGAGTAATAGAGAGGTTTCGCGTGCGTTTCGGATTGTGAGGGCGATTGTTACTTCCCGGCTGCCCACACCGTGGAAGTTGGTTGCGTGACCGCAGAGCCCAGGGGACAACTGCTTGAGGCCGGTCACACGCGGCCTGCTTTTGTTTGTTCTTTATTGTTTTGTGTGTCTCAGTAGCATATTTATCACTCCTGCCCTGTGACACGGCAGCAGGAAGCGCGGTCGTTGTTAATCCGGGCCACGGCCGATCCGGCATGAAATTTTGTGATTTTGTATTGGACATGATGTTGGATTGGGTAGCTGCTTTTTGTTTAACCGCTATCCAAACAACCTGCCTGGCATGGTAGGACCTCAAGAGACATAAGTCTCAGCCAGTATAGCTTGAATAGGTCATTGCGGTGTTCAAGCCCGACCACCACGTCAAGGTAGCAGCTATTATACTAGCTAGAGAAAGGAGACAATAAAGCTGGCGGGTTGAAAATACCGTTTGTTTGAGGTTTTTATTCATTAATCGGATGGCTTTTTGTCTTCGTGAATAGCCTTAGAAGACTGCAAGTCAATAATGTCTACATATCCTTATCTTGAATTAGCACTATGGTCCTGTGCAGACATCACATAAGTCATTCAACTTATAATCACAAGCAATAAATCACCACCTCCTTTCATAATTGAACAATGCACGTGTATAGTAGTTTCATAGATCGGCATGTGGCTTTTAGCATAACGTACAGAAGTGAACCTAAATTGCTAAATTTCAAGGGTAAAATAAAGAATGAATAATTCCATATTGGATAAGCTTATTTAAAATATCAAAGAGAGATGCGGTATTCACCACTGGATATGATATGATTATGAGCAATAATTTATGCTCAAAACGTCATCTAGTTGTTAATACCGCATCGCTGAGTGATATTCAAAATGAACTTATCTAATATGAAATTACATTCTACCACAGTGCTCAAGTATCACACTTACATTAAAGAATGAATAACCAATAATTAAGTGCTAAACTAACCTGGATTGAATTTGATCAATAGAACTAATTGTATCAAGATCTCGTTTAACATCATTAATTGACAGAGCGACTTCACGCATAGCTTCATGAGCTAAGGTAAGATCAGAACGATCTGGATGATCAGCTGGAGTAAGTTTACACAGATGCTAAGGTTTAAAAAAATAATTAGAAGTTATTCATTTTCCTCAACAAAAATGTCTTTCATTCAACAAAATAAGACTCACTGTGTAAATAAGAATCTTGAGTTAATCAATACCTAACAGGTGTTAAATATCGACAGTGTTTACCATAAAAATAGATGCAAAAATATTACCTTACTATACTGACTTTCATACAGACAGGCTAATACACTTACAGGTAAAAGGTATTGAATACACTGGTACACTAAAACCAACTATGTTTCAGAACAGCCTCTACTTCTTACCATACCTATGGTCTGTATTTATTTAGTACATTTGAACATGGAGAACTTTATATATTTACTTTCTAACATCTCAACTTGGAAATGTATGGAATGTCGCAAATGTGAAGATTCTTAAATTCCCCACCTCCTGATAAACGGACTTGATACGACAGACTAGGTAGACTTCTGTCTTCCTCATGCAATGCTCTCATGTCACTACAAGTTCATAGCTTCTGACAGATAAGTTTTATTATTTATTGTCTTTTAAATCACAAGGGGTAAAACGGCAATTGGGAATGTCCCGCATTTGTCACCGTATTAGTGAATACATCAAGGATCCATGTATCGGAAAACTCGGATTCTACACAACATAGGGTATAGTAACTTGAAGATCTGGAAGAAACGAATGGCATATTAAACTATTTTGATCACCACCATCTATAGGAACACAGATGCCAACGTCTCCGACCTTGACCTGGCGGCCTGTTCGAATTTTTGGGCCAGCTATTCTACTATCTATATATTGCATCCAATCTACTGTTTATACACATTTATCACCTAAATATGAATTCTAACAGAATTATTTACTCCCGTAACTTAATAAATCATTTAAGACCAAATGACTTTCATATTCCCATGAATTCAAAGAGGAAGCATAGTAGTGGTTGGCAAAGAGCTCTCAAACGCATACCAATACACTTAACTACGGTCCCTGTCATAATGAACACAAACTGCCGCTCTCTGCCTAACAAGATAATGTATCTGCAATCTCTGATGTCAACTGACACTTATCATAATACTGCTATAATCACATTACAAGAAACGTGGTTACATAAACTTTCTGATGACATCCTTATCTCACTAAAGGACTTCGTATTATTTAGACAAGACCGTCACTGTTGTAGTAAGAAAAATGGTGGTGGCGTTGCAACTTTTATTCACTCCAAATGGTCTGTTTCTAATAATGTCTGCTTCTCCTTCTCAAATGACTTCATTGACTGTATTACTGTCGTCCCAAATATAAACAAATCTTTGTTACAAACATGTACATTACTCCTAGTCGCTTACTATCAGATCTATCAATTTTTGCTGACGAATTCACCATGTTTGCTGCCGCCGACTTCGACAACTTTCCATCTGTTATTACTGGTGACTTCAACTCCCCGGACTGCTCTTTCCTGAAAGCGCTTGGTCATACAAATATAGTCAAATTTCCCACTCGACTTGACAAAACACTCGATTTAGTTTTTACAAACGACGAAGGAACATATGAAACACGTAAACGTGCACCGATACTTAACTCTGATCGCTGTATTGTTTGCGTTTTACCAAAAATATACAGCAAAACGCATATTAAAGTCTTCTCACACCTGTCTATGAAAGCACAACAAAGATGCTAAACATCTGACAATTCACTCAATTTCAGGTGCATGTTAAAAAATACTAACTGGGATTTATTCAATGAAAGTAAATTCGATGACACAATCGCCAATATAACGGACTATCTTAAGTTCTGCCTCGATATGTGCTGTCCTAAACAAACACTATTTAAAAGCTTCGACCGCTTCTCGTCTCAACTACGCAGGCAAAAAGAAGCGTTATGTAAATCCAAAGATAAGTTAGGACTTGAAAAGATTAATTCTCTAATCAAATCTGAAATCAAAAATCTCAATGCTATTTATAATCATACACTTCTATCATGCAAATCTCCTACTAACATGTGGAAACTTTTCAATGAAATCACTGGCAATTATAAGCGATGCAATGTTTTTCCCTCTTATGATGTTAACGCTCTTAATCAGTCTTTTATACGCTCTCCTTCTACTATAATTACTTCTAGTGTTACAAATCACGCAGTTGATAACTTTCATGACTTTAATACTCTTGATGTTCTAAAATGTCTTAAAACTCTTAAGCCCTCACGTAGCATTGGCCCTAAAGGTGTACCTGCTTATGTTCTACAACAATGTGCAGATGCTTTATGTTTTCCACTTACTAACATCCTAAACGTTTCTTTTTCCAAAAACGTTGTACCTGTTGCATGGAAAGACATTAAAATAGTTCCTGTCCCTAAACCTGGAAATAGCAAGAACGTAAAATTCAGACCTATTGCCATTACTTCCCCGTTTATAAAGCTGATGGAAAAACTAGTACTTCTTAAACTTGAACCCTCCCTTAAAAGCTTCGAAGACCCCAAACAATTTGCCTACAGACAGGGTAGGAGTACTTTAGACGCTGCAGCCGTCTTACACAACAGTATCGTCTCATCATTAAATAAAGGTTCCAAATACGTCCGCTGCACGTTTCTTGACTTCACTCCTACTTTCGACTCTGTACCTAGATGTCTCTTGCTAAATAAGCTCTCCATGACACAAACCGAGTCCTGGGTCACTAACTGGTTGCATTCCTACTTTTCAAACAGAATGCAGTACACCGTATACAAAGGCAAATCCTGCTCTGCTGTGCTCACTGAAGCTGGTGTCCCCCAAGGTGCTGTACTCTCCCCACTTCTCTTTTCATTCTTCCTACATGACCTACCATCTTCAAATGACATTAACTTTGTCAAATATGCTGATGACCTAACTGTATCTTTACCTGTCAAGTGTCAAAGTGACTACTCCAAACTAAATGGCTTTTTTATCAGAAATCAGTCAGTGGTCCAAGGAAAACGGTCTAACCTTAAACCCTTCCAAATGCCAAACAGTTAATTTCACCTTTAGGCATAAATCTGACCTAAACAAACTGGTTATCACTCACGAGGTGTGCAACATAGATGGCACTGAAATAGAGACCAAGTCGGAAATTTATTATCTTCGTGTCATTCTATCTGCTGATCTTTCCTGGTCGTCTCATATCTTGATGATGTCTAAGAAAATATTCCGTCTTACCTTCTACATCAAGAAGTTAAGACATTCTGGTGTAACCCAATCCTTACTCCTACAATTTGTTCACTCCTGTATTCTGCCTATTATTCTCTATTGTTCCCCCTTAGTTTTTCCAGGGCTACTGAAGAAAGACTATACCTTATTACGTAGGATGTTAAAGGTCGTCAGCAGGGTAAGCAGTTTGCCACTTAACTAGCTTGTTAATATTCTGGTGGACAGGCACATGGACCATGTGAAAAATGGGCGAAATCCATCTTATCTGACTCACAACACCCTCTACATTCATAACTCTCCCCATGTATCTCTTCAGGGAAAACCAGAAGCCTATATAGGAAACTATATGCCCGCACTAGTAAGTACAAAAACTCAACCATACCCTACTTAGCTCGTGTTCAGTGCGATAAAGATGACATTAGGCATGAAACTTATAACTTGTTAAATAGTCAGTAGAACAACTGGATCTCGTCTTTCCAACTCATATCATTTATAGGTACGTTTTCTTTTTTTCCTTCTCTTCTTTTGTTATGTGCTGTTTTGTTTCTCTCTTCCTTACAAACTCTACTTAAAACGTTCTTCTTCGTTCTTTCACACTCCGGTTATATCGACCATTTTGTTACCGTTTACGCCAGTAAATATGCTAGCATCTACTTTTCTAACACCTTCAAACATTCTGTTCACTTTTAGCTTTGCTACCGACATGCTAATATGTTGTTGTCAAAACTAACTGAATTACCCATAATCTATGTATAATTTTATTTATTGTTAATATACTAAATGGATGCAATACTGTAGTGAAATGCTGAGAATTCCATTCTATATCAACAAGTAATGTTTTGGAATAAAGCAAATTATTATTATTATTAACGTTGTCCTGCTGCCCTGAGGAACCGACTTTAAGTGAAAGACTCAGGGATTGGTTATTAGAAAGCTATTCGATTCATTGGGAACTTCAAGGCAATACCTCAGTTCTTATACGAAATATAAAATGAAGAATCAATGAAAGACTCCGCTCAATCATATCCACACACCTCCCCTACCAGCCAAGCTATGAACTATACATTTAAATACTTAATTCACTGTCATTTCACTATAACTGTTATTATTGTTACTCAAACAAACAATGAAACAAACATTCTTAACTGATTCTTCCCACCTTAGCATTCATTCATTCATGTCTGACATCAGAGTTTTGAATCATTCTTTGACTCCAGAATTTATTAGATATAGCTACGAAGTGAAGCTTCCTTTTTATTTCTGAAAGAAATATGAAGTAACGAACACTCTTGAATGCTTTTAATAAGCACGCTCATCTGATTCTATTTTGTTTTCTCTTGTCCATTTTCTTGCCCTTTCTCGTACATTATTAATTTATTTTGTGTGGATGATCTCTTGGTGTACACGCCAAGTTTACATTTTAAATTATAATAACAGAATAATTAAAATACCGTGTATTTCCTGTCTTTCTAATGCAAAAGGTCATCTTGAATTTGCAAAGTAGAATATACCACCAGGCGTTGTGTAACGTGTTATGCTGTCAATAGGTAGGGACTCCTTTCCACTCTATAAATGAGAGAATAATGTCATAATACCTTAAGGGATATCTTATGGTATAACCGCTATGGTTGTGGTAACTAGGATCAGGATTTAAATGTCAGAACAACACCTTCAAGTAAAACTTGATCATTATTATTAATCTTTCCTTTAATTCCTAGAGGAACGTAGTGTAACAACAGAAGACAAGGGCCGGCAACAGATCGTTTTTATTACGGAAATCAACACGTATTTATATATATTTCACATACATTATTATAGCTTATTCAAGTAGACAAACGCAGTCTTCTGATTGGTTGTTTCTCGG